TAGATGTCGGAAATGTATTTTGAATCAATTACGATAAAAACAAATTTCACCAAAAATAGTGTAAAAGTCAATTTGTTCTCGTATTATGAAGTAGATTTCCGATACTTGATTTCTTAATTATGTTTTCAATTTAGGAGGATTGTCAGGGTTAAGCTCGAACCATTTACACTGTTTTTGGATTTCGGAAATGCCTTTTGAATTAATTACTTACGATAAAAATAAATTTCACTTTAAATTACATATAACGAAACGCAAATATGTCAGTTTGTTTTTTTAACACAGATATACTCATAAAAAAATTAATCATTCGGACCCAGACAACCCATTTGTTGTGGTGGAGATGGGACTTAATACAACAAATTGAGTTGCAGTGGAGAGCAGTCAAGAGGTTTATCCGAAAACAAAATTATAACAATTCACATTACATTATTTCATTTACCACTCTAGTAGCAGAGTTAAGAGCAACTAGACTTTGTAGATAAAATAGGTCGAATTGGTTCTAAAACCGAATTAGCACACGCCGACTCCACGTAGTCTTGTCTGCTCTACCCCTAGAGTGTTTTTGTAAAGCCGTAGGCACGGAGGGAGAGCGGCCCCCGCCCGCTGTAGGAAATTGCAGGCACCTAAGCGGGCCGTAGCGGCTGGGGCTGGTCGCGAAGGGACCGAGCATGGGTGCCTGTGATTTGCTACGCAAGGGCAAAGGGGCTGCACTTCCCGCAGTGCCGAAGCCGTTGCAGAAGTAACTGCGTCAATATTCCTGTATAAAAAAATGAGGTTATGATTTTATAAAAAAAAGGGGGGTTTCCGGCACTTCCCCCTTTTAGGGCGAGGTTCCTATCCCAGCCCCCCCCATTCGGTGACCGTATTTTCATGCGGCAGATTACTAAAAAAATTCATAAAAAATGGGGGGGGGGTTCCGGCACTTAATTCTTTTAGCGGGAAGTTCCTACCCCTCCCCTCCATCTGCCCGCCTACTCGGCGACCAATAATTCGTGCAGCAGATTACTAAAGAATTACCCCTTCTTATTTTGAAGTTGGCAGCGGGTGTCCATGGACTGCAGTAGAACTATAATAAAAAAACCCAGATCGACAACAGATAGCAGCGTCATAGTGCGAGATGCTTAGTACCCGTCTGCCTAGCCTAACGATTAAGGCAAATTCTTTCTAAAACAGGAGAAGCCTATGCCTGCCAGTGGTATGGTATATGGCAAAGTATTATTTCTGCAGCACGAATAGGTCGGCTCGAATGAGTAAGGGCACGCTATTTGTTTCACACTGCAGTGTGAGATGGCAAGCAGCATAAACATGCTTTATTTTGTATAGTGCGTAACGATGAGAATGATTGAAGACCCCCATTTTCTGGTAAAGAAACATTATATCTTACTTCCCAGACATTGTTAACTTTTTTATAGTTTAAGGAGCAAACGAGCATGCGGTTCACCTGATGGTAAGTGACTACCGCCGCCCGTGAACGACTGCAACACCAGGGGAATTGCAGGTGTGTTGCCGACCTTTCAGAAAGGAGTAACCTCTTTTCTTGAAGGGCCCTAAGTCGTATGGGTCTGGAAAAATCGCCGGTGGTAAAAAAAAACGCACAGGGGTGGACTGCCAAGATGATATCGTGAGTTTTGTCGCGATGTGCGTTCTTGAAATTACGTGGTTGGAATTAATCCGAACAATTCCTCAGAGCACTCCTCGTGGTAGATGCGACAGAAAATACAAAGGGATACAACAACCCTTCGCAGCGCAAGTGAATCGAATTAAATGAATGAATAAATGAAAGAATTCGAATGATCGAACCCCGGCCCAGAGATGAGAATAGTATTCCATGTGAGGGCCGAGCTTTCGTCTTGTAAAGTTGCAAGCTGAGGCTCTGCTGGAGTAATATTAGAGGAATTTTGCTTTGTGTTACGAAATTGCAATTATATAGAAAGAGTAAGAAAGAAGTGCCTTGAAATTGAAGAGATACGACAAAGGGGTTCCTTTTAGCGGTAAACGCGCAAACCTGTGTCTTCTGAGGGTTAAACTAGAAAACCTAAATTTTGATTCTTTATTAGGGATAGATGCTCATCACATCATCTACTCATCGGATGGACTGCGTGTTGGTTTTTAACGCTTACTTATATAAACGTGGGGGATTTTTATACTAATATAAATGCATGACCTCATATATGCGGACCAGCAGCTGATTAGCGACTGCAAGTGCAGTTTTTGTCAGGGTCGATCAGATGATCTTCTGTTTACCTGACTCATAGATGGACGGAGGCAGTAGTGCCCAAGAGGGAGGCTTTGGGCGTTAGTTTGGACATAGAGACGGCCTTCTATCAGATTTTGCACAAAGCGCTTATTTCGGGGCTTCCCGAGAAACTGCAATTGGATTACCAGTTTTCTTATAGAGCAAAGCATCACGGTCATAGTAGAGGGTGCATGTTCCGACTACAATCATTGATATGTTGCAAACCAATAACATTCATTACTATGCGGGTGACAGCACTGGTTGCACCAGCCGTGATGCTTTTTACAACGGCCGTGTCTGTGTTTCTTGGAAACACGTCGTCGAGTACCGAAACAAACTTGTGTCTGAATTCAAGACTTTATTGAACAAAGTCTCGGATTGGGGATTGGTGTTTAACGTCACAGGTTTGCGCATTAACCGTTAAAAATAAGCCTTTTGTCGAATCTCTTAAATTTCAGTTGCAGCCTTCGCCAACATCGGAATCTTCGACGTCGACATATCTAATGACGTTTCTGCGGTCACTTCGAAGAGAAGGTTAATTGGCCTCTAAATAGCATAGCGTGTCCATGAGCCATGACCATGCCCGAAAACCGCTTGTAACTTCGGCAAGGCGTAGATACGGCATACTTTTGCATTTTCTACAGCATCTACCATGGGGAGTGCACAGAGGAATCGCTCAGATTAATTTCAGCTGCCAAATTCCACCAACACACATCGCAACAAAATTCACGACACTGTCCACATAATCTATATGCTTGGCGGTCCACCACTGTGCGATTTACTAGGAGTTTTCTTCATCGCACGACTTTGTGGAATCGTTTACCAGCGGCGATTTTTCCGGACCGATACGACTTAGACCTTCAAGAAACGAGCTCTCCTTTTTAAAAGGAAGGCATCATCATTATTACAGCCCTTCATAAATCCACCGCTGAACATAGGCCTCCCCCAAGGAATTCAACAATGTATGGTCCTGAGCGAACTGCATCCATCGACTTCCTGCTTGTCTTACCAGGTCGTCACTCCAATTAGTCAATTGCCTGCAATTCCCTTGGTAGTGCAGTTGTTCGGAGGCGGCGCTTAACACTTTTCACCCATCAGATGAGCAGCATGCCTTTTTGTACCCTTTTCTATAAAATTGGTTGTGACTACTCAGTACTATTGTGTATAATCTCTTACAAGAAATTAACTTACCTGGTTCACAGAAAAATAATAATAAATTTAATTAACAATTTAATGTAATTAATTCATTATACATCAATTTATTTTGTACAATAAATCTAAGTACCAAACACTAACTATGATCTTATGAATCAATGTTATTAAAAACAATAGTATCTCTCTAGATAATCTATTGTAACATGAAGAATTAAATATTAAAACAATTAGCTGCTTCAAAGTTCTTGGTCATTAGTACAGAACAGATTATTATAAATGAACACTATTAAAAAAACATATCATAAGTTTGTTTCACTAATAAAATATTACATTCATATTTTAATAATTTTGTTCAATTATAAATAATTTTGCAAAGAATTCTACATTTTAATATATATCGTATTTAGAAATTAGTACGATAATCACAGATCATGCTTTTACTACACCAAATAATTTTTCATTTCAAGTTTGCAAGAAGACAGGTGAATAAGAATGCTCAACATACTTTACCCATTAGTCTATTAAATTCTCTCAGATTGCTAATATCCTCTAGTGATTACAAACTCGTAGATCTATAGATCTATTACAATATGCAATTTCGTATAGCAAAATTTCTTCATTTAGAAATAAATATATTATGAAAACCATAAAGTGATTATCAAAGAATTGATATGCTATTTTAAAAGCATCCTAAACTTTGTGTATGAAAAATCAAAACAAAGAGTTTCTTAGGTTTTAATTATTAAAAAAAGAATATCATTAACATGTATATACATATTTACATAAAATTATAACGCTGGTTACTTTAAATTACGGCATAGAATCCCTTTAGTAAAAAAAAAAACATTGTAACTTGATAATTTTTTATAACATATCTTTCACACATTAAATGATGATAAACTCAAGATTCATTTCAAATAAAAATAGCTTATGTAATCACATAGCTTATATATTTTCTGTTCTATTATTCAACCTTATTTATAACACACAAAATTTTTCAATTGATATATTATTAATTTTTACTTTATGTGAAACTGCATATATAGATTGATAAATAGGCGAGAATTGAATTCAAGTAGTAACAATTAAAATTATAGTATTGTACACTAAATTGTAGTAAAATGTAAGAAGTTTGTAAAGTTAGAAAAGACGGAAAATCTCTAAATAAATTTATTCCTTCTCTCTTCTTATTATTTCTCTATTTATTTTTAAAATGAAATAGTTCTCTTCAGTTATTATTCAGGAAAGGATGCAACAATCCTATAAAATTTACCTAACGGACGAATAGATCAAGAGCGTTATACAGTTGTGTAATAAATAAACACAAATTCACTGATCCATAACAAGCCAAGTTTCTATTCCAATGTTCCAAGACCATTTGGACTGGTCAATCAAACACACCACAATTTAGTCAACTACATAATTCGAAGACAATTATGATGATGACCCACTCGACTGTACATAGCTCAAGACTGTACAGGACGAAACGAGACAGGATTAGTACTATGTATGTTACAAGGGCCCCAACAAAATGTTGGTCTTGTACTTCCACTTCAGCACAGACACTTTGTACCCTCGCTTCGCGCTGTACGTAATAGTTGGGTATCGGCTAGCCGGACGCAGGCTCTAGGGCTTTGACCCCATCTGCTGCTAACCCCTGTTTCTGGCACCACTCTACAAAGTCATCGATTAGGACTGGCCATGCACCCTCAGCATCGTAGTTGCTCATGCCATCATCTATTTGCGTGGCAAAGTCTAGTAGAAGGTTCCATGTGTCCTTGGGGATGGATCTTTTATGGTGCTCCTGTAATTATTTCACATTTACTTTTATTATGTTTTCTATGAATAACACAATACACACACTGTTTTATTATAACATTATTTTAAATATGGCGTATGTTCCGAAATACAACGCCATGAATCGACGCTATACTGGTGATTCGTTCCAAAACATTGGACAGTATATGACGTCATACTTTTGCGCCATTTGGAAAAGTGTTGGCGATTATTTTGTCATTTTGTGCTCCAAAAATCATTATATCCTCCTAATGGATATACCATCAATTATTCTATAATTTTTTGTATTTGAATAAATAGAAACAAATTCTGGCATGCTTCATTCGGCAAACACACAATTAAAAATTGTTTTATTATGGCCAGATATCAGACACAATATGGCGGCGGCATGCTAGTACAATAAAGTGTCAAATGATACGTCATTTGCATTGGACAGTACACTGCGTTGTATTTCGGAACATACCCATGATAAGTAAAAATGTATTGACAGACAATCAATGTATATGCAGACAATAAATGTTTTGATGTTTTCAAATGAAATAATCAAACAAAATTAACATATTCACAGAAACATATGAGTTTAGTAGAGTGATGGATGCATACTATGCCTGGAGCACAAATAAATTAACTAAAATAAAAAAAAACTCTGATGAGGGAAGATCACACTTGCACCAGTGTAAAATAGCAGCATAATGCTGTTTTGCATCATGGTGCTTAACAAGGACTGGATACTCCATGAGAAATAATAAAGAGATACCTATTACTTTGATCCTTAATTAAGGGTAGATGTAGGTGACAATGGGCCACATAATCCACTAACCATCACATGAACTGCATACTAGTCTGTCACCTTCACTTCTAAAAAAACTACTGGAATAGTTACAAATATAGATCATGTGCACATATCGGTCACATCAAAGCCAAGGTTTAAATATATTGTTTACTTTTTATATGTTTTGGCTTTCATAAGATTCTAGTAGTGTGGAAGATCAATATAATTTATTTGAATGTCATACATCAAGTTTATTTGCAAAAATAGTCCTGTCTGTGAGGGGTTGTTTTATTGAGCTTGGTGCAGTTATTTTCGAACACGACCTATGGCAAGTATATTATAGTAAGGTAGTCTTCAATCCATGACACTGTACTTTATAGCAAGATCCTGATATTGATGGGAATCCTGGCTGTAATGTTGTATATACACACTGTTTTTTTTTCAGCCAATAAAAGTTCAAAGCTGAACATGACCCTCTCTTGTTGGTAGAGTCGACCATAGCCATGAGGGCACCCTGGATGTGAAACTTTCCAGTGTCCTTCCCCTTTGTTTTGAAATGTCACACTAGCACTATAACTATACCAGTCGTTAAGTAGTGACACAGGCAAACTAAAAATCCAAGATCCATGCAGTTGGTCGACATATAAGTTTAAAATTTAACATTTTCTTGATTTAACCTAGCTAGGCTACATAATATGCAGCAATTTGTTTACTACTACAGAAATAAAAGGGTAAAAATGATTCATTGCATAGTCAAGCCAGAAACAAATAATGAAAACTAAAAGTATTAAAAGGCCATTGAGGGCAACAATATTTAGGATGTAAAGAATAAGTTATTTTCCAACATTATGATTTTTTGAAGCCACACGGCTGTACTTACTAGGTTACAAAATGCCAAGAACAAGATATGGAATGTATGAGCGATTTGTCGGGATAGTGGCAAGATCGAAAGATTTTGTATGTATCTCATGTAGCAGCAAATTTTACATATTATAGTCCTATGGGTTTCATAAAAGGTGACAGAGGTAACTTATTGATTCTTAAAAAAATTATTATATGCTGCTATTATTGTTTCTAATTATATTTATAAATAATAATGATTAATTAATATAAAAGTTAATATTAATTATGTTGTTTTTTAACCCACCGTGAGAAATTTACACCATGCATCTAAGAACTTAAACCTCCCACGGAGTACTATATTCCAGTAAGCTACAGCCATATCTAGCTCAAGACCTTTCTGTCCTGGATTCTTAGCATAATTAAATGTAAATTGATAAAAGTCTTTGAATTTATTTGGATCCTTGATTTCCAATTCAAGAGTTGGCAATTTTGCTTTTAATTTGTCTATGCTGTCTACACCAAGTTCTATTAAACCAGTTGTAAATTCGTCTTTTGTGAATTCACACTGGACTGCTGCTTTGCACTTCCATGCTATTATAAGTACTAAAATTGATTCTGGACTAAGATTTAAATCTTCTAGGAACTTCATAACACCATCTACAGTTATTTTATCATTTTCTTGCTGGTCTCTGTACTTGTTAAAGAGCTGTTCAATCTTTTTTTTATCCACAGCAGATTTGGCAGAATCTTTGTAATAAGCTTCAGGGTTCTGAAAGTAGTTGTCACTCGCTAAGTCTAGTTTCCAATCGTTTTGCGAAAGGCAGTATATGGCAGTACTTTCACTTGTTTGTGTGAAAGCGACGAACTTCTTAACTTTATCTCTCTGTGATGATTTTAATTTATTCTGAAAAGAAAACGCAGTAACATCATAACCTCAGATTATTCTATAGCTGTCAAGCGCCTAACGCAAATGAAATTTTTATAAAGTTAAAATTGTGAAAGTTGATTGTACGACTATCGTTACAAACCATTTTCGTGAGAATATTGTTATTTCTAGTAATGACTTTCACTAAATAAATTAACTGTTATTTCGACATTAGAACTAAAAAATCACAGATTACGATTAAATAATAATCAATAGACAATTGCATATTTTTATTAGTTAGTGGACAAAAGTAATTTTGTAAAATTACCACCTCATCATCTTCATTGTCATCATCATCATCATTACAGTCCATTCCTAAACTTTGATTCCTAAGAATGCCACAAAGCAAGGCCCTGAGTCATCACTGTTACGACTTAAATTTTTTAAGCGCAAAGTTCTTTGTATGTGTATCATGCCGTTAAGTCATTATCATTCACTTAAGTAAGCAGTGTTAGACAATTATTAGCTTATATCTTCAATGTACTGACTACTACTGACTAAACTTAAATGCAATAGTTATCCGGTATGGTTCTGCAGAGATCTCATTAAAATTTTAAAAGAAAAAAAATAAAATACGTCTTCGTTATAAAAATATCATAATCCTTTAGATAATATCAGTTAAGAAATACTAAAAAAAGAATTGAAAAATTATTATCTTTAAGTTATAATAACTACTGTAACAGAATCGAAAGCAGGATCTCACAAAACCCAAAATATTTTTGGACCTTTTTAAAAGATAAACATAAAAATAGAAGTAATACTTTGTCATCTATGTTTTTGGGAAATGTGTTAGCTGAGGATAATGTAAGGATTAGTGAATTGTTTGCAAAAAATTTCTGAAAAATTTACCACAAAGCTACATCATTTACTTATGTGTATAACTGTAACATAAAAGTACTGAAGAGCAGCTGAATACCTTAAATCCGATGACATACCACCAGTTTTTGTTGTCAATTGTGCTAAACAACTATCACGCCCCCTTACCATAATATTTAATAAATCTCTAAAATCAGGTATTTTTCCGACACGTTTGAAAGAAACTAAAATTGTGCCAATTTATAAGTATGGCTCTAAGCGAGACATAATAAAAAATATAAACCAATATCAATTCTATCTATTTTCTCAAAAGTATTTGAAAGTACTATCTATTCTTATCTATACAACCATGTTAAAACTCAGCTAACAAATAAGTAGCATGGATTCATCAGAGGTAGATCCACTAACACAACCATGGTCGACTTTGTCGAAACCTTGACGGAATTTGTAGATCAATGCATTCAAGTCGATACAATATATACTGACTTTAGCAAGGCATTCGACGGGGTAGACCATGAAATACTTCTTCAAAATATTTTCTTCTTTCGTTTCTTCAAAGTGATACAATCACTTTGGTATTAGGGGCTCTAATATGCAATGGCTTGCATCCTATTTAAAAGACCGCCAATCATTTGTGGTGGTTAATGGAGCGAGATCGAAAGCATTTGTGGTCACATCAAGTATTCCTCAAGGTTCAAACCTTGGTCCACTGTTATTTTCAATATTTATAAACGATATAGTTAATTGCTTTCTTAACTCGGAACCTTACATTTTTGCGGATGACCTTAAGATTTTAAGGCCAATAAGAAACATGGATGACAGTGCATTGCTACAAGAGGACATTAATAGATTGTTTAATTGGTGTAGAGACAATAAAATGCTATTGAATGAGAAAAAGTGCCATGTCATTTCTTTCTCCTGTAACAAAGAACCTTATTTATTCCAATATAAGATAAATAGCACACTTTTAGAACCGGATAATATTATTCGAGATCTTGGTATTATGATTGACAGCAGATTAAGTTTTAATAATCACCTAGATGATATAAGAAGGTCTTCCAGAATGTTGGGTTTTATTATGCGGAATTCTAGAAATTTAAGCACCCTAAAACTATTATATTGCTATATAATACATTGGTCAGGAGTATTCTGGAATACTGTCCTCAAGTCTGGAATCCATTTTATGAAGTACACAAGAAACATATTGAAAATATTCAAAAGCGATTTTTATGCTTTTTATGCCACCACACAAAGAAATCACATTTATTAAATTCATACGATGACTAACTTAAATATTTTAAAATGACAACTCAAAAATAGAATGAAAACACTAGATCTTGTATTTTTGCATAAATTATTGAATAACCATATATAGCGTGTGCAACTTTTAAGTAAAATTAATATATCTGTACCAAATAAGTTACCGCACTTTAAGGTTTACAAGCTGTTCAAATAACGTCTTTGTAAAAGTAATTTGGCTCGCAACTCCCCACTTATCAGAATGATGTCATTATACAATCATGTACCAAATTCAATGGAAATAGACATAATGTGTATACCGTTGTCTAGATTTAAGTAACTGATCCATTCAAATTCAATTCAATTCATTACAAAGATCAAATTTGGAAATATGCATCAAAAGTAGATTTATTATCTCTGAGCATTAAATCCACAAACTGTAGCTATAGCAAATCTGTTTATTTATGTATACTTATTAGCATATTATTATTATTATGGGGGGTATCAATATAGTTTTCTCATCTGGTTGGGTTCTATAAATATATAATAAAAAATGGAAATGAAAAGATAAATATACATAAATATCAATAAAATAAAATAAATATAACAATACATAAATAAATAAAAGCCCAACCAGATGGAGGCCCCCGGCAGAGGAGACCAAACGGCCGAGGATTAGGGGGAAAGGGATAAAAACTGGCGGACGATGCGGGCGGTATCAAGGAGCACCGCCTTCTGCATTTGAGCCTGGAGCGGTCTGCCACGTAGTCCCAGCCGCCTCAGATGACCCGAGAAGCTGACTGGGATTAGCCCGTTTGCAGAGACGACTACAGGAATAATTTCGGTCGGCAGACCACCCCACATGTCGGTCACCTCGTGAGCCAGGTCCAGATATTTTGATGTATGACGAGGTTTTCGTCATACGGAGTGGTAATGTCGACCAAAAATATCCTTAAGTGTACCTGGTCCATCAGCACAATGTCAGGCTTATTCGCAAGAATAGTCCTGTCTGTGATGATGGCACGGGCCCAGTAGAGCCTGGCGCGATCATTTTCGAGCACGGCTTCCGGTAAGTACTTGTAATACGGCAATTTCCGATCCACGAGATCGTATTTCAGAGTGAGCTCCAGGTGAAGAATTTTGGCTACTAGGTTGTGTCTATGCAAGTACTCAGAGTTAGAAAGCGCCGAACAACCGGAGATGACATGCCTAAGTGACTCACCGGGATGGCCACAAGCTCGACAGATGTCGACAGTGCCATCTTTTAGGATGTATCTCCGATAGGTGTTGGTTCTAATAACCTGATCCTGTATTGCACGGACAAAACCCTCGGTTTCCGAACCGAAGAGGTCACCAAAGCGTAGCCAGTGGAGGGAGGCTACTGTGTCTACAAAAGGCTCATGTAGAGCCTTGTAGAACCTCCCGTGGAGCTCCTTCTCCTTCCATACGGTCTCCCGGTCGGAAATGCTCTGTACTGCCGGGTCTTGCCATTGCTCGTTGGCTAAGGATAGAGGGGTAAGCCTTTTATCACTAGAAATGACGTCCTTATAGAATGGATCATCCGATCTCGTCAGGAAGTAATCACGGAGGCTGCACACTTCACGATTATGCATGGTGAGCGCGCTCAAGAAGCCACGCCCACCATGCTTTCGCGGCAAGTACAGCCTCATTACCGACGATCTCGGATGATGCATCCTATGGGACGTCGTGGTATTGCGAACTTTTCTATCCAGGGCGTTAAGTTCGGTCTGGGTCCACCTGAGTATGCCAAAGGTATACATGAGGACAGACATGGCCCAACCGTTATATGCGTGTGTCTTATTCACACCGGACAAAAGGCTGTTAAGCACTTTGGTCAAGCGTGCATAAAACACGTCGCAAACCGACTGTTTCATACCAGCTTCATCGATACCGATGTTCTGTGACGGAAACGGACGTTTCAGCCTCGGAAAGGCTCCTTAAGTTGACGGGCATAGATAAGTCTATGCCCTCGGAGATAGCAACCCTTCCCCTTTCAACATGTAGGACCGCACACTTATCCGTCCCCAGCTCCATTCCAATGGAATTGCTAAATTCACAAGTGATGTTTAGCAATTCCATAAGATGGGAGCGACTGGAGGCGAATAACTTGAGGTCATCCATATAGAAAAGATGGGTCACGTTTGTCCCTCCTTTCCGTAGCTAAAATCCCCTTCTGGAGCCCTCCAGTAAGGTACTAAGAGGGTTCAGAGAGAGGCAGAACCAGATTGGACTCAGACAATCGCCCTGGAAGATACCCCTTCTTATCCTTATGTGGTTCTCCGCAGCCATCATCCGCTCGCCCAGATGACAAAGGATCGTACTTCACTGCACCATACACTGCTCGAGGACGTCTCTAACTGTACAGTCTATCTTGTACAGCTCGAGGACTCTCTTTAGCCATGTATGGGGCACCGGGTCGAATGCCTTTCTGTAGTCTATCCAGGCGGCGGCGAAGTCCCGACGGTTGCATTTCACCACTTTGCCAATGACGCGTCAATGAGGAGTGATTCCTTGGTTCCACGACCATCGCCCCGACATCCATTTGAGCGCGCGACATCACCGGATTTGATTCCAGGTGACGAGTGATTCTCGCGCTCAAAATGGATGTTAGTGTCTTGTATATGATCGGTAGACACGTGATGGGGCGGTATTTGCTCGGGTCTGTGGTACCCTGGTCTTTAGGAACCAAATGGGTGATCCCAGTAGTGAAGAGGCTCGGGAGCGACTTCTGGTTGAGAGCCTCTTGAAACTGTCGGGCGAGCACAGTGTGACACACCACAAACCCCTTCAGCTAGTAGTGATGCAGCCCGTTGAGTCCCGGATTTTTCCAGTTCGGGGCTCTACGGACCGCCTCAGCTACGTTATCCGGTGTTATAATGATGGGGTCCATGGGCGTTATACTCGCATAATGACTCACCACAAGCCTCTTCTGATCACTCTGAAAGAGACGATTCTGGTTGAACCGTGTCGACCTCTCGGTATATCGCCGAATCCGCTTTCCCCAAGCAGCGATTCTCTGCTTCAGATCATTTATGCGCTCCGTCAGTTTTTGCGTTATATCCGGTTGGGACAAATTGACATTTGTTCCAGCAAACGCCATCCTGACGGTGCGCACAATTCTTGGCCTTTTATTACCTGATCTGAAGCATATCAGTCTGCCGATGAGAGCTCTAGCCTTTGCGATACGTTCCTCAATTCTTCTTCTCCATGCTTAGATAGCGCTACTTTGGCCAGTAGTGCGTCCAGCCGTGGAAACCTTGGCGCCTAGAGTACGGCAGACTGCCAGCGCGGCGCCAAAAAGAATTGAGTCCGTATCGCAAAGGTCCCGGCTGGCTTCCAAATAGGTCACCAGTATTGGGTTCAGAGCCCTCACGACAGCCCGATTCCACTTGCTTAGGGCTATGCGAGGCAGTAGCGGTCGATTTTCGAGAGGCGTACTGCGCGTTTCCACAATCGCCTCTTCCATTGTACTCCTCATTTGTTCTATTTCTAGTTCCTGGATGAATGTTCCATCATCATTTGAATCAGGAACCACTGGGGTATTCACGGCGGCATTCACGTGTGCGGGTTGTTCTGCAACTTGTGGCACCGCATCCTCAGTCGTAGCATTTTCATTTGATGAGGAAACAGCCTCACGTCGTAGGCGTTCGAGTTCGGCGCCATCAAATGTATTTGAGCGTAAGATATACCGAACTCGGTCTGCCAGGTTTTGCTCAGTGAAGGTAATAGATGACTGCAGCCCAGTAAAAAGACGATGCATCCTAGCCCGATACGCGAAACCTCCAACTTCTCCCCCTTTTGCCCTAAAATACGCTCGCAATGCGTTTGTATTAATATTGATGGTCCATCGCATTCCGCGTACTCCACCAGTGGCGGGTGGCGATTGCTGGGCCTGCGAAGACCCTACCGACACTAAGCAAGCTGGTGGGGATGATGGATACAAGGGGCTGCTGGGTGGTCATGCAGCACCTCGCGCTCGAATGGCGGTTCGCATGCTGCCGCGTCCAGCGCCAGCTCCAGACGAACCCTGGCGACCTCCAGGCAGCGGCCCTTTGCGCAATCTTCTGTGTTCCATCATCCATAGTGGGCGTCATTTAACGGGAGACGCCCAGACCCGGCGCTTTTATTTATATTATTATCTGTTTCCTTATCTTTAAAAAAATTACTTCGCTTTTTATGTAAGTGGTGGTTACCTGTAGGAAGATGAACACGTAGCATATAGTCGCCGTGTTGAATTGTATTTTTGTTAGTATTGTGTATAGTAGTAATGTATCTGAATGGAAAGACGTCCCTAGACCAGAGATTCCTAAAGTAGTTTCCGCTAAACCTAAGGGTTCCGTCATGGTCGGATAATTAACACAGAAGACAAAAATGTTGATTTACGGATATTGCCAAATGTATTCAAATTTTTTATGTCTTTCACCCATCGAAGCTGGATATTTAGAATAAGTGACATGAAAACAAAAACAAATATTTTTTTTTTTTGTGTTATACATCGCAAAGACATTTAAAAAATGTAAAATAAATGCCTCAAATCATTTCTTCTCTATTAACACGGTGGACAAAAAAAAACATACGTGCAGCTCACACGCGACAGAAGTCAAACCTTCAAATGAAATGAAATATAAATTACAAATACTTTACGGCAAATGATTTATTTAATATTATAATTTAGACTACAACTTCGGCATAAAATATAAGAAAATTTAATTACTACAAAATTAATATATTAAATATAATTATAATATAGTATATTATAAAATAAATAAAAATAATTAATTTATTTTAATATATATATTTCCCTTCGAATGTTTATACTCTTTTCAATATACCTTATATAGTACTCACTAATTACAAAAAGATTTATATCAAATTTACCTATTACGAAGTTGAGGTTTGGGTGTTCTCCACTGCTTGTTTATTCCATAGGCACACCATCGTACCTTGTTGAACAAACGCGTAACCGACGCCGTTTCGGCGGCGCTTAAGACTTTTGTCTAGCGAGCATTGAGTTAGATTTCATTTTTGCCCACGTTAACTCTTATGAATTTATGTGTCTGTCTCTTTTTGCTGGTTTTTTCGTTTCATCCAGTTTCAAATCACAATGATGCTTAAGAAGTTTTCACTTCAAAAATATTTTTGGTGTTTGTAAATATTTTGAGTTTTAACCCCAATCAAACAAAATTCTTTTGTGATTTTGGTGATTTTAAATGTAAACATACAGATACATTTGATTGTATTACAACCGAATATCTTGTTTCTAAATGATAGGTGCCTTAAGACTGGTAAGGTTTGACGTAAGTGGAAAAATTAAAGTTTTGGTAATGAAAGCTAAGTCGAGACACATGAGTATGGTGTGTTTTAGTTCAGCTTCTTAAAGCGGGTGAAAAAAGTTAAATTTTTAAAGTACTTCAGAAGCTGTTCAAATCTCTCTATCACAGTGGCACTATTCCCGAGACGTGAAACAGATATGCGGTGGTATTTTCCTTCAATAAAGGCGATAACGTTCTATTAATGAATTACCAACTGATAGCCCTCACGAGCCTTGCTATGTGTTGTTCTTGAGAAAGATTATGATTCTCTCGAACGCAGATTTGACGACTTTCAACCTCTGAAACAAATCGGTTTACAGAACAGCTTTAGTACTATGAACCCCATACACACCATTCGGCAAATAATACAGAAGATTAAAGAGTACAATCTGCCGCCACACCTAGTCTAATTGATCTAAACAAAGCTATCAGAGCTAGTGTGTAGGTTTTTTCAACTTTCATTTGAACGGGTATGCGACGGTTACGGTTACAGTTACGGCTACTGCAACTCATGGATATCTGTGACTAATGTAACTTAGTTACAAATTTCATGGAGCGATATCACTGTTATACCTATTTCTGTCGTGTAATAAAGTTATAATTATTTTTAAGTAAGTAATTTTTTTTCGGTCGAAGGGGTGTTGGTTGTTGATTGCGAGTTACTATCACAAACTAATAACAAGTACTAGCACAGTTACTATTATACTTTCTAGTCATGGGCAGTCACTTTCTACTTGTCCAAAGAATTCCAGCTCAAATAAAATAAAACATGCGTGCAGCTCACTTTCGACAGAAGTTAAACCTTCAAATAAAATGAAATATAAAATACAAATACTTTAAATGATTTATTTAATATTATAACTTAAACTACAAGTAAAATATAAGAAAATTTAATTGTATAGTAAATTAGTGTTACAATACTCTTTTAAATTTTATAAATATATTAGACACAGATATTATATTATGTACTCTTTTCAATATACCTTATATAGTACTAACTAAATATAGTACTAACTAATTACAAAAAGATTTATATCAATTTTACCTACTGTGAAGTTGAGGTTTGGCCGTTCTTCACTGCTAATTTAATCCATAGGCACACGACACCTCCGTACCTTGATGAACAAAACGCGTAAGCAACGCCGTTTCGGCGGCGTTTACGATATTTTCTCGCGAGAATTGAGCTATAATGCTTCCTATCTCATATTCTCCCACGTTAAATCTTATGAGTTTATGTGTCTGTCTCTTTTTACTGTCGCTTTTTCGTTTCATAGACTTTCAAATCACAACTATGCTAAAGAAGTTTTCACTTCAAAATTGAGAATGGATTGCAACAAGAAAATATTTGCTGAAAGGCTTTTGAAACTTGGCAAAACTGCCACGTGCAGAAGTTTTTGCTGACTAAAACTTACAGACTCCTAGATTTGCGTCTAAAACAGATCTTGTTAAGCTATTTTTTGAAATTATCTTGACTACTAGTCCCGTGAGCCTTTTAACAATGTTGTGTGGAGTGATATTCTTTTTCCATGTTTCAGATATTTTTCCGATATTTTTACGGTTTAGTACTTACATTATTTTATAAAATTAAGCACTATTACGTAAGAATATCTATTAACACATATCGTACCGTGGGTGTCTTAAGAGGCGACAGAGGGAAACAAGAAACTAACCAGGAGATAGGAAGCAGCGTCTCCCTAATAACAACTAAAAAAAGTGTGGTTACTAACTCGTTTGCCAAGCGTGGCAACTATAACAGCTATTTGAATTTGAGGCCAGATGTGGGGAAGACCCATGCTCTAACTAGCTTAGAGTTCACTAAGTTTGACCTCAGCGCTAGCAGTGCTGCTTGACTATCAGAGTTTATATAAATTATATGGTTGACGTTGTGTTTTTGCAGATTAATTTGCGCACACTGAAGTATGGCGAAAATTTCTGCCTGGAAGATAGAGGTGAATCTACCCAAATTCATACTAAGTTTGAATTTGGGGCGTTCCCCGTAAATTCCAAAAGCCTACATCGAGGCCCATTTTAGACCCATCGGTATACCAGATGAGGCTACCGACCTCACAGATTACCTGGCCATTCAGCCAGTTTTCTCTGGAGGGTATTCAGTAGGGTATATATTTTTTATTAAGAGTGTATAGTGGACGTATGATACCTGAAATCATGCATAAGACCAGTGTTTCCTTCATTGAGTCGAGCATGCACCTCAATCTGTAGGAGAGCAAGCTCAGACCGCCCTGGGCGTTAATCCTATACAAACTAGCCTGCGCCTACTTGTCTGGATAAAGATTGAGGGGCATTAGGTATAGAAGTGCATTAAGAGCCGCTTCAGGCGATGATCGCATAGCTCCAGTTGCTATTAAGTAGGCAGTTCTTTGTATACTATTTTGTCTGTCCGAAGTCCGAAGTGTTTTTTGGTTGGCCTTGTTGCACCAGACAGTGGAGGCGTAGGTGAGGATCGGCCTCACTATGCTGCTGTGCAGCTATAGGGTCATATTGGGACGCAAGCCCCAGTTATTCCTTACCAAACTACAGCACGTACCTAAAGCAATTTTTGCCTTATGGCATACGTTGCTAAGGTGAGAGTTCCACATTTGTTTTTGGTCGATTGTTACGCCCAAGTACTTAACTTTAGTGAAAATGGTACTTCTTTACCATTGAGTTTTGGTATGACTAATTTGTCAAACCGTATCTTTTTGGTAAATGGTATTATAACAGTTTTATAAGCATTAACTGATAAACTGTTGTCCCTACACCGGTTATTTATGGTGTTTAGGGATCCTTGTACACCTCCCACACACACACACACGTGTGTGGGAGGTGTACACGTGCGTATGTAGGACACACACACACACACACACATACACACACCTCCTTGTAGGCAGCCTCTTGTAATTGCAACCTCAATCGAATTTGGAAACAGCGCTATTTTTGCCTTTCTATTTGAGAGCATTGACTTCACCCATCTGATGGTTGTGGGGTCAACGTTTTTAGCTGTCAAGCCTCCAATCAGCAGTGATGTGGGGCTACTGTCGAAAGTGCCCTCAATATCTAGAAAGGCATAAAGAGCTATTTCTTAATCCTTCAGTGTTTTTTCGACCCTGTCAATAACACTGATTAGGGTTGTTTCCGTGGATTTGCCTTTGTTGTAAGCATGCTGGTTGTAATGTGTGGGCCTCGTAGCTAGAGCTACATCCCTTATATATCTCTCTATGACCTTTTCCAATGTCCTAAGAAGAAAAGAAGATAGGCTTATAGGTCTAAAGGACTTTGGTAAAGCGTAGTCCTTTCTACCGGCCTTAGGTATAAATAGTACTTTGACAATTGTCTATCGTTCTCGAACATATCCACATGCAAAACTTGCTCTGGAGATTTTCACCAGATAGGGAAGAAGGATATCGATACATCTCTGTAATTGGGTGGGAATTATTCCATCTTTCCCGCTTGTTTTAAATGGTATAAAAGAGTCAACAGCCCACTGCACCATGTTTGGCCTTATCTTTATTACTATATTATCTTTGCAGCCAGACCAGTCTTCATTAGAAGGCCTTTATAAGGGAAATGGGTTGATGCTAATAACTCCAATGTTTCTGTTTCACTATAAGTAAAGTTACCATCAGGTTTTTAAGGAGCGCGATCTGATTAGGTATAGTTTTCGATAGAATTTTATGTAGTCTTATACTGAGAGGCAAAGACTCAATTTCCTTGCATAGCTTCCTCCACGATGCTCTCTTGGCTTTCCTAATTTCTTTATTATACTCAGTTATGGCTGCACTGTAAATACCCCACTCTTTGGTTTTCTTCTTTTTTTCCTTTTTTTTTTTTTTTCCCTTTGTGTTTGGTTTTTGTTTTTGGGACTTTGGGTTTTTTTTTTCATTTTTTTTGGGGTTTTTTTTCCCTCCAATGTGTTTTTTCTTTTTTTTTATTTTCTTTTCTTCCAGTGTTAAAGTTGTGTCACTAAGGCTTACTAGGTTGGAGATGAGTAAAACATAAAGTAAGTCAACTCTTTCGTTGATTTTGGTACTTCCCCAGGCTGTATGGTGGGCATTAGCACCACAACCCACCACAAGTTCGGCGCTGTGTTTTCGGGCGAACTCCGAAACTTGCTCTAACTCGATGGTAGGATCTGCGTTCTCTCCGGGAAGATAGCTGAGCTAATGATTACTCAGACCCCTGTGCTTCCCTTGAGATTTATGAAGACTCTATCCAGGTCATCATTGCAGTACTTTGGAACAGCTAAATAATTCTATTTTACTATTTAATACATACCAAACTTAAATAATCTATGGTTTCCTTTTTTTCCTACTAAATTCTAAAGTGCTAATAATTGCAAGAGTGCCGATGATTGGGTGGTTTACCCTATATAAAAAGTACTCTGTGATTATTATTTATCTCTGAACGAAACGTGGAGGAGCTAGCTGCGAATGATGTCTCAGTACGGGGAACGGAATGCGACTGGAGAGCCAATCAGCGCGTACGAATGATACGCACACCCAATCGTACGCACAATAATTCGCAATAACGGTAACTGCTAGTAGACTTTAGTGGCGCGAGTTCTACTTCGTATTATTTATATATCATAGATTACTGCATCTAAACTAGAGATAGATGTGCAACTCACATTTTATTTTAGTTAAGTTCCGTGTTTGCCACACAGATGGCGCTAAATTAAGCGTGCTTTGGGGCCGCCCCTTATTTGCATTTCAAATTTTTTATTTTATATACAACCATTAATTACATTGCATAAGTGCTGCAATGTAATTAATGGTTGTTTATGTTTCTTGTGCTAACTGCTATATTATAGTTATATTTACAAAAATAATATAGCTATGGTTATGATTACAAAAAATAAAAACCGGATATTTTTAAAATGTTTATTGTTTAAAAGTTCTTTGCTTCATTATTGATTAACATTAGATCTATGTGTCAAATTTAACAATATTTGCACAATATCAATTAATTTCTTTATACAGTGTCCCTGGTTAGTACTGGTTAGTAAATATCTTACGTTACAGAGAATACTTACTACAGAGAATAATTACGTTAGAAACAATAGAATAATTATTATTAAAAATAGATTATTACATAATACTTATTGAAAGTCATGTTTATTAACCACCTTCCTGGGAAGAACCAGCAAGAAACCCAGCGGGACTTTTTTAAAAGCATATTGTTTTTACTAAAAAAACTCGCAATTGTTTTTATTAAAAATGAGAAAGACTGCTAGAAATCCTATTTATAATCAAAAATTCCGTAATGAGTGGCTACAAGATATTCTATGCAAGGATTGGATCGTGCGAAAAGAAACAAGTCCAGGAGAATTCGTGGCGTCTTGTAAATATTGAATGTGTGTTGTAAGTAAAATATATAAATATAAAAACATTTTCAAAAATTCCTACTTAGCGGGTTTGGACGGGATTGTAGCATTCTATACGTTCTGTACAATGGGAGCGAAAATTAAATATTGGTAACACTGTATATTATACAGGCTCAGAAGGGCTAGTATCCAGAGCCATAAAGCCAGTTTTAATAATAAAAAATAAGTAGGTTTATTATATTATAGTCGTAGACAGATTATAGTAGTCTGTGATTATCGTAGACAGAGAATACTAGGATTCTCTGTCTACGGTGATTATATTCAACATATTTATTTATCTATGATTATATTATACAGCGTAGGGACTAGGTAGTACTATACTATACTTTACTAAGCAAATAAACAAATAAAACTTTAAATAAACAAACAGTTATTAAAGCTAGCTTGTACTATTTTTTATTAATGATTAAAGCTAGTAGTAAACTTTACTAAGTAAAGTAATTTCTGTGTATTGTACGCTGAAACGTAGTGGTTCTTCGCTGTCCGCAAATAAGCAGGCGTAATAATAAACAACGCAACGCAACCAACAAGATTCTTGAATTAAAAATATTTAAGTATTTAGATATCGATTAATGAGTTAATAAAATTAACCGATGGTAAATTTGTACATAAATAATTAAAATTATGCAAGGTACAGTTTTAGCGAAATGTTTTGCCCCAAGGCCTTATAACCTTTATAGAACTTTGAAAACTCTCTGTCCACGGGTGAGATTTGCTCCTAGTCCTACTGGATATTTACATTTGGGTGGCTTAAGGACTGCTCTTTATAATTATTTATTTGCAAAATCCAAGGAAGGTGTATTTATTTTACGTATAGAAGATACCGATCAAACCAGAAAAGTAGAAGGTTCTGTTGACGCACTCGTAAAAGATCTAAACTGGGTAGGTATAGAGTATGATGAAGGACCAGGAAAGGAAGGCGAATGTGGACCTTATATACAGAGTGAACGCTTGAAGATTTATCAGTAAGTTATATAATTCCATGCAATTGGAGTATTATTTTACTCATAACCGGACAAAACCACTTTTGACATCAAAAATCAGGCTAAAGTAGTTTTGACTAAGGATGTTGGTCAAAACTACTTTTTACTGGTATATTTTTTATGTACTCATACTTACTTGAATGATAAGGCTATTTGTGTCTATAAAACAATACACAAATTATCAGTGACAGTAGGTTAAGGTGCGACTGGGCTGTCCCTTGGGCCATCCTAAAGTCGCATACATTATAATGATATAATTGTTACCATAAACAAATTAAAATATAATATTGAAAGAATTGAACTAGAACTTTGGTCAAATTACATAACTGAGAACATTGGTAAAAACTACTTTTGGCTACAAAAATTACTCGAAACTGTTTTTGTCAGTCAAAAGTGGTTTTGACCAGTTATAAGTTTTGACTGTAACATAACATATACATTTAATAACCAGCAACAAAAGTCTAAATAAATTATGAAAGTTGTATAATCTTGGTCTATGCTTACATTTGTCTGCATAATAACAAAATCATAGGTCTAGGTTTTAATTGCAAGACCCAGTATCCCAGTAATGAAATATTAAGAAATGAAATATTGGAGAAAGAATATTAGAACTTAAAGGCACTGCACACAGGATGGAATCAGCATGTGCATGGGATGGAAAAGGAACATCGTTGTATGTCAACATGAATGGGAGTTTAATGCATATGCACTATAACAGGGACTCAAAATGAACATGCTAGTGTTATGAAAGTAAAATTTTTATTTGAAGAATTCAATGCTGCCACTGCATACGCAGAGGAACCACGGACGGGACTTGGCACGTGCAAGGCAGGAAGGAGTAAACATTGTCGCCGACAATATTTACCCGTCCCATTTATGCCCATGCCCCCTATATTTATGTCCATGCCCCCTCTGTGCATTCGTAACATATGCATTTTCACATACATTTTCAATGAAATGATATTTCCAAAATTTGACATCCTGGTCCATCTGGATGACCATATTTATACTCTTATAGAACACTATTTATCCACATTCAAACTCTATTTTATTTGCATTTGTTAGTAGGTAACAATTGAAAGATATATGAACTAGGAAAAGAGAAGAATTATTTGATATGAAAGTATATTTTTGTTTGCCTTTTACACAATCTTTCTTGAACAATTTCATATATTTAAAATTAAATTGCTTTGAAAATCAACTTAATAATATTGAATACTTACTAAGAAAATTCCAAAGACTAAATGTAATTGTAAATAAATAGCTTTTAAAATAGCTTTTAATGGTAAAAGGAAATACAAGTTTTATGTTTGTAAAGTACAAGTATTTTATACTAGTATTTTCTTATATCATTCACAGTTGCATTTCACATTAATATTACTGTTCATTTAACTAAATTGATTAATATTTTATCGGAATCTAATTAATTTTGTGTAATTTTTTTATTAGTTTTCATAAAAAGAATGCTAAAATCTACCACTTTTACTTTTATTTCAAGAAAAAAATTAAAAATTATAATCATTAATAGTATGCTAATTAAGTCCCATTTAAATAATTAGAGAAAAAATACACCCTAACAAAACGGTTAAATGGTGGTAAAATAGAGGTGAAGTTTTTGATGAAACTTGGGAATGGACATTTGAGATTATAATATAAATTAATTAGTTCATTCAAAAGGGTATAAAATAATTAACTTTTATTAAAAAGTAGAAGCCTCCTTTAAACAACTAAAAGGAATAATATTTTACATTCTGATTAATAATTTCAAATTCAGTCTTGAATTCTATTTATTTTAACTTACTAAGTATCAAATTCAAAATGTGAGATTATATTTTCCTTTTTGTTTGAAATCACTTGTTACTTTTTTAAAGTTTTGTTTTTGGACTAAAGAATAACACTACTGAATGTTTTGTTGTTACTGGATTACCTAACTCAAGTAACTGGTTTGCTCTTTCATTTGTCAAGTTACTTTCTGGTGGTAATTTTTCAGTTTAACTCAAAGTAGTGATGTTTGATTACAACATTATTTCAGACCTTGACTGCATGTTGATTGCACCTTGATTTGCCGTGTAGTGGCGGTTAAGAATATCCACTACCCCATATCTTCCCATGGGTGTCTTAAAAGGCACAGAGGGAGACAGGCAGGAGATGGGCAGCAGCATCTTCCTGATAACAGCAACTGTACGTCAAAAAAGAAACTGCGGTTGCCAACCCGCTCGCCAAGCGTGGCAACTATGGCAATATACCCCCCATGAACAATTACACAAATAGACGGCCCCCAGTCCCCGCCGGCCCCGCTATTCCTGGCTACGGTGGCGACCATGGTAACGGCGGGGCAGGGGGTGCTAAGAATCTCCGGTGGAGGTTCGGTTGCCACCTACGACGACTCGACCTGGCAACATTTAACGCACGCACACTGAGGACTGACGAGAAGATCCTGGAGCTGGAAGAAGAGATAGACAAGTTGCGCTGGAGTATTATAGGATTATCCGAGGTCCGAAGAGAGGGGGAGGACACGGTGATTCTCGAATCCGGCAACTTGTTCTATCACCGGGAGGGCGACCATCTGTCCCAAGGAGGTGTCGGATTTATCGTCCACAAGTCTCTCGTCAACAACGTTGTAAAGATTGGGAGTGTGTCGACGAGGGTCGCGTACCTGATACTCAGAATCACCAAACGGTATTCGCTGAAGGTCATACAGGTTTACGCACCAACTTCGGCACATTCCGATGAGGAGGTGGAGGAAATGTATGAGGATATTTCCAAAGCCATGCATTCCTCCAAAACCCACTACACGGTGTTGATGGGAGACTTCAACGCAAAACTAGGCACGAGAGAAAACGGTGAGCTGAAGTTAGGGAAATTTGGAGTAGGGCAACGGAACCGAAGGGGCCAGCAGCTGGCCGACTTTATGGAGAAAGAGGGACTCTTTATGATGAACTCTTTCTTCCAGAAGCGGCCCCACAGGAAGTGGACCTGGTCGAGCCCCGACGGTTCGACAAAAAATGAGATTGACTTCATTATGACGACCAGACGCCAACTGTTCAGTGATGTCTCAGTGATCGCAAGGGTGAAAACTGGCAGCGATCACCGAATGGTTAGAGGCACACTGAACCTAAACGTTAAGTTGGAGAGGTCTCGTCTAATGAAGTCAACGCTCCGTCCCCCTCGTGCTCTAATCCAAAATCCCGAAAACTTTCAGCTCGAGTTACACAACCGCTTTCAGTGCCTACAAGATTGCAATGCAGTGGACGATATGAATGACAAGCTCGTGGAAACTGTCCATGCGGTCGGAGCTAAGTTCTGCAAGACCCGCCGCAGAAGAACACAAAAACTCTCCGATCACACTCTTAATCTCATGGCTGTTAGACGGGAGATGAGGCTGCAATCGTCAACAGATTTGACAGCATACAGGCAACTGAACAGACAGATCTCCTAATGCATGCGGCGAGACTTACGCAACTTTAATACCGCTCGTATTAAAGAAGCGATCGAGCGGAACCAGGGCTCCAAAGTCTTTGCCAGAGATCTGTCTGCCCGTAAGAGCCAACTGTCAAGGCTGAAGACTGAGTGTGGCAGCATCGTTTCCGGGACACCTGAGATTGTGAGTGAGATTGAGAGGTTCTATGGGCAGCTGTACACATCATCGTTGGAGCGGTGTGGTAGAGAGAGTTTTTCATGATGTGGAGATTGGTTGGAGGATGGAATTACAGCGGAGCTTCTGAAAGCGGGTGGAACACCGGTACTTGAAGTCCTTCAGAAGCTCTTCAATTCCGTCCTCCATGGTGGCACTACTCCAGAGGCGTGGAGCAGAAGTGCGGTGGTCTTGTTCTTTAAGAAAGGCGACAACGCTCTCTTGAAGAACTACAGACCGATTTCCCTTCTGAGCCGCGTCTACGTGCTGTTTTCGAGAGTCATTACGAATCGTCTCGCACGCAGACTCGACGACTTCCAGCCTCCCGAACAAGCCGGTTTCCGAAAAGGCTTCAGTACCATAGACCACATACATACCCTGCGGCAGATTGTACAGAAGACTGAAGAGTATAATTTGCCACTTTGCCTGGCGTATGTGGACTATGAGAAAGCCTTTGATTCCGTCGAAATTTGGGCGGTGCTGCAGTCCCTTCAGCGGTGCCAAGTTGACTGTCGGTATATCGAAGTGCTGAAGTGTTTGTACAGTAGGGCTACGATGGCTATCCGAGTACAGAACCAGAGCTCGAAACCTATCCAACTGCAGAGAGGTGTAAGACAGGGTGACGTTATATCCCCGAAACTCTTCACCGCTGCTTTGGAAGACGTTTTCAAGCTACTGGACTGGAAAGGATACGGTATTAACATCAATGGCGAGTACATCACTCACCTTCGATTTGCCGACGATATAGTCCTTATGGCAGAATCGCTGGAGGACTTAAGCACTATGCTCAATGACCTCAATAGTGCCTCCCAACGGATAGGTCTTAAGATGAACATGGACAAAACAAAGATCATGTTTAATGTCCATGTCACACCTATGCCGGTAATTGTTGGGAGCACTATGCTCGAAGTTGTTGACGAGTACGTTTACCTGGGACAAATAGTCCGACTAGGTAAGTCCAACTTCGACCGAGAGGTCAATCGACGGATTCAACTCGGCTGGGCAGCGTTCGGGAAATTACGACACATCTTCTCGTCAGGTATACCTCAATCTCTGAAAACTAAAGTGTACAACCAGTGCGTGTTGCCAGTGATGACTTACGGATCAGAGACGTACCACAGTGAAGGTCCACTTCACTGCTGGCCGTATGAGGACGCTCAAGGTCGCTCAGCGAGCTATGGAGAGGGCTATGCTCGGAGTTTCTCTGCGTGATAGACTCAGAAATGAGGATATCCGCAGTAAAACCAGAGTGACCGACATAGCCCAACGGATTAGTAAGCTGAAGTGGCAATGGGCCGGCCATATAGCTCGAAGAACCGATAACCGATGGGGAAGAAAGGTTCTCGAGTGGCAGCCTCGTACCGGTAGTCGTAGTGTAGGGCGACCCCCCACTAGATGGAGTGACGACCTGGTAAGATATGCAGGAAGTCGATGGATGCAGGTGGCTCAGGACCGTGCTTTGTGGCATTACTTGGGGGAGGCCTATGTTCAGCAGTGGACTTGTGAAGGGCTGTGATGATGATGATGATGATGACTGCATGTTGGTTTAGTAGTCAGTGGCGAAGCTGGAGCTCCAAGCTGGGGCAAGCCCAAGATATAAATTGATAAAAATATAGATTGTTGTTTTTAGCAGTTTTATAAAAATACACCAATCTTGATCTGTCTCCACGCTTCAGTTTCATATTCAGTGCTGTCAAGGACGTGTTTAACAAAGCACACAGAAGGCATACCACTGCTAGATAGATTGTATTACATATCAGCAATTGCAATTTACATCCAATACAATACATGAACAAAAGTAAAACACGAAAAAAGTACAAACAAACTATGTACAAAATTAAAAAAAAATTATTTACATTCTAATGGATAAGAGATAAGATAAGATAAGTGGAATCGTCTCGCTTTCTTATGGATAGATTTAATTACGTCCATGTAAAATGTTGGTGAATGTTTTAATTGTTCCAATAACTGTTTTTAATTGCGATAATTGATAAGTCTGAAATACACTCTTAACATTATGTATTCGCATAGAAGTCGTTAAATAATTATTTCTCGCTAAAACGATTTTTTATTATCCGCTAAACATTGTTATAAATCTCGCTTAAGATAAGCCTAGGGAGAAACGTACGACTAAAACGTTGGCGCGCCTCCGCTAACATACTGCCCAAAAGCCTGGCTTTAAATCTCTATACTAATTGCTATATATACAATCGTAGTTATATTTCATTATAGAATATTTTGCCATAGGTTAGAAAGAGAGCGATCGTCTTCTCGAAAGCCCCGTAAAAAAGCCCACGCGAGCGAGGGAGACAACTATCATCTCTATTAAAACTCATTTTTTATGACAGCAGCAGTATCGCTAAGGCAATACGAGGTCATCGGTCGACATGTGTCGAACAGTGGAGTGCGCGGGAAATTTGAAATAGCTTGAAACATTTTACGAGTTATTTTATTAGATGATATTATTGATTGATTCAGGTTTAATAAGGCAAGCCCGGCTTTTCGGCTTTAATGGAAGCTTCGCCACTGTTAGTAGTCATAGGCGCAACTACTGATCATGATTGAATCAAAATTAAAATCAAGAAGAAATACTTTGAAGCAGCTCGGAGTGAAGAGGTTGGTGGTGATTCACCCATGGCTCGTAAATTACGTAAAGCCGTTGGTTTTGCGCCTGATCTCTCTTTGGTTGTGTGTCTCAAAATAAAATCAATATTGACAGTGCTTTCCAGTCAAAAATCTAACTAACCCCTAATCGGTATATCAATAGTACTTCGCTTCGCACCAATTCGAAGAGTAGACTTGCCAAGGTCACTGAGCAGTTTCTCTGGGTAACTAAGCTGCATTTTATTAGAGTTCCTTCACATCTTATAAAGGTTCACTGCTGAACATAGTGTAATGTTGAATGAAGAAACATGTCTCCTTTTCATTTAACGGTTGTTAAATGAAAAGGAGACATGTTTCTTCCTCCATAGATTGCCTCTTACTACACCCACAGGATGATATGGAACAGTTGTAGTTCTTACACCACCAGTACACTGTTTCTTGAACTAATTTTGGAAATGTCAATGACAAGACATTTTTTATACCAATGTGCTTACCATCTCGGATCCAGTCACTAATGTACCATGTGTGCATTAGAGTTCAGCCAGAATAAATATTGAGAATGTTTTCAGAGATCACATAACTAAATTACTGGTTAATGGATCAGCATACCATTGCTTTTGCACAGAGAGGCGGTTAAATATTTTACGTAGGAATGCTATAAGGTCGCAACAAGTGCCGAAGTATGACAACCGGTGTCGGAATCTGACCCATGATGACGTCAAAGAAAAAATAAAATCAGGGATTGCATATTGTATTAGATTGAAGGTGAGTTATTCATTTAATCATTCATTTACCACTTTATTAACTGGATTGGACGATCATGGAACAATATGGGGTATTAGATATTATTAAACCACCACTACACACTCAGCCCCGGATCTACGATTTTTTTGAACCGGAAAAACTTCATAGTGGCGCCTTCTCTCTCCAGCGTTTTCGATAACTTGTTAAAAAAACTCACAAATACATAATGGGTGGCATTTTTTGTGATTGGGACAGTTAGAACCCTTTATTAATTTGGACTCCTTATTACCTATTAATCAATAGCTTTTTCATTTGTGTAACATAACGAAATTAGAAAACATATAATCAGGAAAAGAAAACAGACAATAAGACATTTAGGATTTGTGGGTCGCAGCATCTTTTTCTCTCTAATCTTGCAAGCGCTTTACCCGGCGTGCTTTCTTTTCATCGAAAGAATCTTTTAGCTCATCAAATTCTGTCTCAAAGTTAGTTTTATTTTCAATGGATAGGATCGCGAGGCTAGATAGATGTTCCTGACTCATTGTTGAACGTAGATAGGTTTTAATTATTTGTAGTTTGCTAGAGCTTCGCTCACAGATTTCAGATGTCGTAGGTAATAATATGCAGTATATAGCTCTTTAAAAACGGCAAGTTCCTGGAAAAAATCAACTGAATTCAAAAATTTCTTTCGAATATTTTTGAGCTAGATAGACTCCATTTTTTCGCAGATCCTCAGTCAACCTATTTTAAAACGCGTGGCCACTAAGGAAGGGGAAGTTTTCATGTAGACACTGCACTCTCTACCCTTGTTTTAATTTCCATTAAAATTTTGTCAAACATTACTTTTATATCTTTGGAAAATAAATCATTTGGATCTAGCGTTCTTGATTCGTCTTCACAGATTTCATCATGTTGCCGATCGATTTGTAACTTTTCTAATACAGGTGCAGCTTCTTTGAACCAACTTTCTATTGATTTTTCTCTCTTTCCTTGTAAGACCTTAACAAGATCTTGCATTATCGCCACAGAATGCGAAATAATAATATCCTCTTTCATATTTCAACGTTCACTCTATTAATTTCTCGAAGAATATTATCCCAAATTGTTAAGTTAAGGACAAATTTAAAAATCATCACTGCATGTAGTGAATGACCAGCTTCATACTTGAATTCTACGACTAGAGAAGGTTCCTTAATTTCTTCCAGGGTTTTGACAATTTCCGGCAAATTATTTATTAAAGAGCTAACAGACTGGTGTTTATCCTACCATATGGTTCGACTACTTCCCCTTTTAAGTTTGTTTTTGTACACTTTTGCATTATTTTCCACTGTATCCACCACACAGTGGAAAATAATGCAAAAGTGTACTAACAAAGTAGCAACAAAGTTTTTTTGAGTTTGATGACGCTGAATGCACGCTCACAAGATTTAATGAGTGTGCTAGACATGGTGCAAACTTTGCTGGCTCGTTTATTTGCAAAACTCTGGATTGAACTCCTTTATATATAACAGCCATATTAGATCCGTTGTCGTAAGATTATCGGCGATATTTTTGCACATCTGAACCATTAGCTTCTAGTTTCTCTAGAATTCGCTGTGTAATTTATTCTCCAGTCCTTCCATGAACTTCAATAAAATCAATAAAGCTTTCCTTTATTTCACGTCCGGATTCCTTTATTTTTATAAATTGAATCACCTGGCTCATTTGTTCCATGGGAGATACATCTGGAGCGCAGTGAAACATGGTGGTGAAATAGTTGGCTTCCTTGATACCTATCATTGTATATCGACAAACAGGATACCACTCCTTTTTTTACGTGTTCTAGATGTTTTTTGAAAGTAGGATCGTAACCATTTAATTAAAAATTTCCGCCATTAGATGATGCCAACAATCTACTGTGCTGCTGCTGCTGGAAGCACATTTCGGTATGATTCCTTAGAATGTGTTCAAAAACCAACTGGGCGTTCTAACATCAAGTGAATAATTGATAGAACAACACGCTTTGGATATTAGACGCTTTGTGGAGCAATATTTTTTAAATCCATATTGTATTATAATTTTGGCGCCCCCTAAAACTGCCGCCCGGGACAGGTGCCCCGGTTTACCCCCCTTAGATCCGGGGCAGTCACACTTCTTAGACTAATGTTGGATTTTCCTAGACATTTTTTATACCAATGTGTTTTACCATCTCCGATCCTTTCAATGCTTCACCTTTTTGTAGTATTTAAAAAAAAAAACGAAAATTTTAATTAAACTAATTGCACTCATGATTTTTATTTAAATAACCAGTTCAGTTTTTTCTATTATGTCAATAAGATTAAAAAATTATATTCATATTTCATCAGTATGTAATTTGTATCTAAATGTAATTAAAAAAAAAAAAAACGAGCAAAGCTCGGTCATCCAGGTACTGTATATATATATATATATATATATATATATATATATATATATAATTTTACTTCTTTATTTTAAGTTTGGTATTTTGCAATTTCAGCTGTCATCTGACTGCCAGTATTTCGAAGATTTGGTCTTTGGTAACATCGCTTATGATGTTTCTCTTAACGAAGGCGATCCAGTGTTGATGAAGAGCGACGGATATCCAACGTACCACTTCGCCAGCGTGGTGGACGATCATTTGATGGGCATCACCCATGTACTGCGTGGTGTGGAATGGCAGATATCTACCCCTAAACATTTGTTAATTTATAGGTAAGTAAAGACAGATAAGATAAATAATAATTCATCATCATTAATAGATTAGGGCTTAACTTTGCGGAATTCCATTATAATAAACATGTTAAAAATTTATTAACTAAGATCCGCATAATAAAATAAAATGATATATCTAACCTAGTTTGAAGAGTGCCTCCTGCCCTCCCTCAAATGCGTGCTGTATCCCATCATCACTAATCCTAACAACATTACTTCCACTACACTAGGAAAAACACACTACCTACTACACTAACCGTCGATAATACACAACCCCCTCTAAACGAGATATCCTCAGGTGAAATAGACTGCGGTGATTGACTGCTAAAATACTAAGATACTTAGCCGTTGGCTTTACTTTTATTTTATTATGCGGATGATGATGAATGAATTTTCAACATCTGTAATTCATCATCATCCTTGAGCCCTTCACAAGTTCAATGCTGAGAATAGGCCACCCTCAAGCAATGCTAGAAAGCACGGACATAAGCTACCTGCATGACCTTTCAGAAAAGATATTAAAAGATATTATATATCCACATATTCTATATTACGATTGCCGGTACGAGGCTGCCACTTTAAAACTCTAAAATATTTTCTTCCCCACTGGTTGTCAGTTTGTCACATTTAGTCAGCTCATTGCCGCTTCATCTTACTGCTCCTTTGTGGATTATGTCAGTACTCTGGTTCTACTGGGGATGTTAACTTTACTGATTCTATTTTGCGCAGAGAAATATAACATAGCCATGTTAATGTTTATACAGCGTATTTTGGACTTTTAGAGCTGTAACAAATGGCTATAGTCAAAAACTAAAATAAACTACATGTTAAGAGATAGTTACATAATGGTATATGTATTATGTAACTTTTTATCTCGCCTTAATGTAGTTTATTGGTTTCTGAAGGCGCTTTTTTCTGCCTAATATAGCTCACATAGTGTATACTTGGAAATGCAATGTTAAGGCGCTTTGGCAAAGCCGAGGAAGATAGATTCTTGCCCGTTGATAATGTATTATGTAACTATCTCTTAATGTAGTTTATTGTTTCTGAAGGGCTTTTTCTGCAATACTATGTTTAAAGCGTTTATATTGCGTGTGGGCAGAAATTACTTAATTGAGCCAAATCTCATCTCAAAAGATCAGCAATTCCATGCAATATACTCATAGACCTCGGCAAGCCGAGTTGTAGTCTGCAGATTCCAGTTTCTTTTTCCTTAATATACAGGTGAATATCAGCCTCAAATGTCCTCCAGACTCAAATTTCGATCACGGTCACGGCGGCAAGTCTCAACGGAAACTAGCCATCTAAAGTACGGCCAACGAGAAGCGATACCAAATGTAAACAAAACCAATGCAAGGTTAATAGCAGGGGTGCGTAACTTTTTGATAGTTACATTGTATATTTAAGTAGACAATAAAGTTTAAAAAATGTCTAGCAAACCAATAAATAGACGTTTTATTGTTTGTTAGATTGAATCATACATATTATAATGGAAATTTTTTGTTTTTTTCTTCTTGTCGCAACAGATCATGCATTTGATTGGTGGCTGTATAGTGACAAGGTCGCGGCATATCATTGTGGGATCGAATAATTGCAAAATATCAGCAGGTACAGAATATCTGGATTACTATGTCTTTTTACCAAAATTAAGATAAAAAACGTATGGATCTGTATTTTTCCACGCAGGACCGGGAAGAGAGCGATAAAAAAACAGAAAATTCACCAGCTGATTTTCTTCAAACGTTTTTTGGTGCATTGTAATTCGCAGAATAGGCGATAAACTCGCAGACGATATTAAGTAATCCTTTGATGCTCTGCCTACCCCGTGATTATAAGTATGGATCAGAAATACTATCACCACTTGTCACGCTTTCACCCTTAACTATTACTTAACTGTGGTAGAAACAGTTCTTAGTAAGCCTTATTAATAAGCCTTAGTAATATTTATTGAACGGAAATGAATACAGTTCTTATATGTGGTTATGAATGAATCGGTATTACAATAAGAAAAATTGTGCAAAATTATAAGAAAAATATTTTTTGAAAGTGTTTATTAACTAACGTATACATAGTTTAAATTACTTCCGCTAGATGTCGTTACTAGGTTTTTAAAACGCGGTAACGAAATGTTTCCTGACATGTACTTAACTCCCGCCGTTGAGCCGCGCGTCAACTTATAGTGCATACGGTACCTATACGCTTAAATTGTTTCTATTTCGTAGTTTATTCGACTACCTGCTTTCGATTTGGGTTGTTTGTTATTTGCTTTGTGATTTGGTTAAGGTTGAATGGATTTATATTGGCTTTCATTTTCGGATTCGTGTATTTTCGTGGATCGGTTTTGTTGATTTGGTTGGTATTCCTTTATACATATTTAGACCCTGGCTTTGATTTTGGATTTTGTTTATTTAGAATCGTGAATTGGTTTTCGTTGTTTTAGGTTGTTTAACAATATTTCAAAGGAATATTAATAGTATAGATAGTGTATACGGTACCTATACACTTACTTCTTTTTTCGTTGGTTATATTTATAGACTCTTGATTTCGGTTTTCTGCGATTTGTTTTGTGATTTGGTTTAAGTTGATTCGATTTTTTTTTGACTATCGTTTTCGGATTCGTGTTGTGTCTTGAATTGGTTTTGTTGTTTTGATTTAAAAAAAATATTTAAAAGGAATATTTTTTCCTTTTAGATATTTTGGATTTGCTTTTGAAAAAAATATTTAAAAGGAAATTTAATTCCTTTTAGGTATTTTAACGTTTTTTTTATAAATAGGTTTTTTGTTACTTCATAATGCCTCGCAAACGTAAGTCCAGCCTTTCAAGAGTATCTTCTCAAAGACAAGCGAAAAGATTAGCTCGATCGCTAGAATCTTTAGAAGATGCTGAACTGAGAAGGCAAGAATAAGCAGAGCGTCAGGCTGCTTTTAGAGCATCTGAGACACCTTCTCAACGTCAGCAAAGGCGTCTTGAACAGGTAGAGCGTCAAGCTAATTTAAGAGCTACTGAAACACCTTCTCAAAGTCAGGAAAGGCGTCTTGAACAGGCAGAGCGTCAAGCTAATTTAAGAGGTTCTGAAACACCTTCTCAAAGTCAGTATAGGCGTCTTGAACAGGCAGAGCGTCAAACTACTTTAAGAGCTACTGAAACACCTGCTCAAAGTCAGCAAAGGCGTCTTGAACAGGCAGAGCGTCAAGCTACTTTAAGAGCTACTGAAACACCTGATCAAAGTCAGCAAAGGCGTCTTGAACAGGCAGAGCGTCAATATACTTTAAGAGCTACTGAAACACCTGCTCAAAGTCAGCAAAGGCTATTCGAACAAGCGGAACGTCAGGCCGCCTTAAGAGCCGCGGAAACACCTGATGAAACTCAACAAAGACTCATTGAGTAAGCTGAACGTCAATCTACTATAAGGACATCTGAAACACCAGAACAGACACATGCACAGCTCCAAGCTGAACGTCGACAAAATTTTCAAAGAAACAATTGGTCGGTTTTTAATGACGCAGCATTCAATTATGATCCGTTGATTGATTATAAAAATCACAGGTTAGTTGTTGTCGGACTGATGGACAAGGCGTGTCGATTTTGCAGCGCTTTAAAATGGAAAGATGACACCGTGGGCATGTGCTGTTCCAATGGCAAAGTGTCTCTTCCGTTACTTGAGGAACCAGAAGAACGTTTGAAAACTCTCTTTTTAAATGATACTTATGAGTCAAAAAAAGCGCCGTTTTTAAACAGGATCCGGAAATATAACTCATGCTTTCAAATGACGTCCTTCGGAGTTGACCGGGAAATAATAATGCCGGAATTTTCTGCAAGGGCAAATTTATCATAGAATAGGTTCACTTTTTCCAGCTGAAAACGAACAGCATAAATTTTTACAAGTATATTTTATAGGTGACGAAGAAATTGACGCTGCCAGGCTGCTGCTTTATCCAGGGAGTTGAGAGAGACACAGTGTTCAAAATACAAAGATTCTTGCATGAACGTAACATTTTAGTCAAAACATTTAAAACTGCTTTAGAAAACCTACCTGAAGAGGATTATAAAGTCGTCATTCACGCAGATCGGACCCCGAGGAGAGGGTGTAGAGCCGGTACGTGATGATACGTTGCAACGGGTAGCCAATACACACAAATTTTATGACGCTCTGCAATACCCATTGATTTATTGCAAAGGACAAGAGGGTTATCATTTTCAAATTCCACTCATTAACCCGGTCACAAAGAAGACTACTCCGAACAAAGAAGTATCATGTATGGATTTTTATGAGTATCATATGATGTTGCGAGAAAATGATTTAAACCTCTTAGCCCGGTGTAGACAATTATTTCATCAATTTTTGGTACACATGTATGTGAAGGTAGAAAGTGAACGTCTCCGTTATATATATTTTAAATCAAAAAAGCTGCGCGTTGAGGATTATATAATAAGATGAGAATAAACGAGATTAGGAAAATTCCCTCATATTCGTTAAGATACGAACTTAGGAAGACTGATATAGTTACTACTGCAATCTGAAAGAAATAACCGAGGAGCTAATGCCGGGCCAAAAAAGTACTGACAGACACGATTTAGTTGCTAGAGTATTTAGATTAAAAGTACAAAAATTAATGTATGTTTAACAAGGGAAAATTTTTGGAGAGGTGCAGTGCTTCATGTATTCAATTGAATGGCAAAAAAGAGGATTACCGCATGCCCACATTCTAATATGGCTTAAAGAGAAGTTGCGGCCTAGCCAAATAGACGAAATAATAAGCGCCGAGATTCCGGATCCTGAGCAAGATAAAGAATTGTATGATACCATCGTCCGAAATATGATTCACGGTCCATGTGGAGCACGAAATTCACTATCGCCATGTATGAAAGAAGGAAAATGTACAAAGAAATTCCCTAAACAGCTATTAAAAGAAACAGTGAACAATGACAGTGGCTACCCTTTATACAGACGCAGAGCTCCCGAAGATTGTGGCAGGAAAGTTACAATCAAATCTCGCTCTGGAGCGTTCGAAACCTTAGATAACAGCTGGATTGTCCCGTATTCGCCCATTCTATGTAAAATGTTTAATGCCCACATTAATGTAGAAGCATGTAGCTCTGTCCGCGCAATCAAGTATATCTGTAAGTACATAAATAAAGGAAGCGACCAAACGATTTTTAATCTCAGTAGTGAAGGTGAGGCAAATCCCGTTAATTAAGTACAGACCTTTCAAGCAGGGCGTTATGTCGGCAGTAACGAGGCAGCGTGGCGTCTCCTTGGCTTCCCTCTACACGAAAGGCACCCAACAGTTACTCACCTTGCTGTGCACTTAGAAAATGGAGAGCGTGTATATTTTACCAAAAGAAATTTCCAAGAAAGAATTGCATCACCGCCAAAAACTACACTAACAGCCTTCTTTAAACTTTATCAAACCGACCCCTTTGCAAAAACGTTGTTATATTCTGAAGTCCCCCGCTATTATACTTGGAACACATCTAGGAAGGAGTGGAAAGGCCGTATTCAAGGCGCGCCTGTTGCAAATTGGCCCGGTGTAAAGTCATCAGATGCCCTTGGTCGTGTGTATTACCGTCCATGTAACTAATTTTGAATGGATTGTGCTGCAGTGGGGTTGGGACCAGGTAGGATGGCAATACAGAGAAGCATGTGAAGCTCTGCATCTTTTAGAAAACGATAATCACTGGGATGAAACCATGGAGGAAGCTGTGCAGTGCCAGTCACCAGCCAAAATTAGGGATCTTTATGCAACTCTCATATCATCTTACGGGCTATCTAATGCACATGAATTGTGGGACAAATATAAAGAGTACATGGCGGAAGATATTTTGCCAAGGTTACAGCAGACACACGCGAACATGACATACAATGAACACATTTATAATGAAGCACTTGGAAAAATTGAAGATAAAGTAATGGCAATGGTAGGCAAAAAATTAGGCGACTTTGGAATGATAAGCCTCAAACAACCGAAAATGAACTAAGTGATGAAATTATACGTGAAACAAACTACGATATACCAGCTTTGTAGCAGCAAGTAGCCGAATTTGTACCCCGCTTGCTTCCCGAACAAAAACGAGTTTTTGACAAAGTATTAGGGCAAATTGAATCTGGAAATGGTGCACTTTTCTTTTTAGATGCCCCTGGAGGAACTGGGAAGACATTTTTGTTAAATTTATTATTAGCGCAAGTACGGAAAGATAAAAACATTGCTGTGGCCGTAGCTTCCTCCGGTATAGCCGCCACGCTGCTAAGCGGGGGCCGCACTGCACATTCTGTTTTAAAACTCCCTCTAAATCTAGCCCAGGAAGAATCGCCGATCTGCAACTTTAGCAAAAATAGTGCACGAGGTATAATGCTACGACAATGCAAACTTTTAGTGTGGGACGAAAGTACAATGTCGCATAAAAAAGCTGTAGAAGCACTAAATCGAACGCTCCAGGATTTGCGCAGCAATACCGATGTAATGGGAGGAATGGTGGTTTTACTGGCTGGTGACTTTCGCCAAACTTTACCTGTCATTCAAAAGGGCACACCTGCAGATGAAATTAAAGTATGAGTCGTCTATTTTATGGAACAAGGTGACAAAATTCAGTTTAACTACGAATATGAGAGTGCATTTGTATAATGATATCAATGCTGGAAACTATGCTGACACACTATTAAAAATTGGCTTTGGGCGGTTGGAAACGGATGCTGAGGGCTGCGTTAAATTGACAATGGTTTTTTGTAATTTAGTACAGAGTCATTCCGAATTAATTGCGAGCGTCTATTCAGATTTAACGAACAACATGCATGAAGACAAATGGTTATGTGAAAGGGCGATTCTTGCACGAAAAAATGAGAGCGTTAACATAATAAATTCAGATATATTAAGCGAAGTAGCAGGAGAAATAACAGAGTATTTGTCAGTAGACACAGTAATGGACACAGAACAGAGCACTTCATATCCCGTAGAGTTTCTAAATTCTCTAGAGGTGTCAGGTGTGCCCTCACATAAGCTTCAATTAAAATTAGGCGTCCCCGTCATGCTAATGCGAAATGTAGATCCTCCTCGGTTATGTAACGGGACAAGGCTGCGTGTGACACATCTTGGACGGAACATAATCGGTGCTACAATTTTGACAGGCGTAGGAAAAGGTGAAAATGTTATTATACCACAGATTCCTATAATTCCCACAGATCTTCCTTTTCAATTCAAAAGGTTGCTTTATTAAGCTCAGTTTTGCAATGACAATTAATAAAGCGCAAGGGCAAACGTTACAGGTAGCGGGGGTCAACTTAGAAAAACCGTGCTTCTCTTATGGTCAGCTGTATGTTATATATACCATACATATAATATGTTCGCGTGTGTCAAATGCCCAGAATCTCCACATTCCTTCCCCGAATGGAAAAACATATAACATTGTGTACAGTAGCGTCTTAAAATGGTGTTCAGTTAGTTTTTTTTCCGAAATTCCCACAATCAATTAATCAGAATTCCCACAGATCTTCCCTTTCAATTCAAAATTTCCTATTTAGCTCAGTTTCTTTTCAATTCCAAATGCTGCACCTCTGATGAACCTATTAAGCTCTGTTTCCTTTCAACTCAAAAGGCTGTATTTCTGACGGATCTTTTATTTGGCTCAGTTTCCTTTCAATTCAGAAAACTGCATCTCTGACGAATCAATTTAGCTCAGTTTCTTTATTGCATTCCTGACGGATAATTATGCTCAGTTTCCTTTAATTAAAAAAATATCCCATTTCCATTTGGAATAAACAGGCTATTTTCATGCTTTCCTATACTCGCTGCGTTTCAAAACATTTTAATAGGCTGACGAATCAATTTAGCTCAATTTCCTTTTCAAATGGCTGCATCCCTGACGGAAATTATGCTCAGTTTCCTTTAATTAAAAAAATATCCCATTTCCATTTGGAATAAACAGGCTATTTTCATGCTTTCCTTTCCTTTCGCTGCGTTTCAAAAAATTTTAATAGGCTGACGAATCAATTTAGCTCAGTTTATTTTCAAAAGTCTGCATTCCTGACGGATAATTATGCTCAGTTTCCTTTAATTAAAAAAATATCCCATTTCCATTTGGAATAAACAGGCTATTTTCATGCTTTCCTATACTTCGCTGCGTTTCAAAACATTTAAATGGGCTGACGAATCAATTTTGCTCAATTTCCTTTTAATGGCTGCATCTCTGACAAATCTATAAAGCTCAGTTTTCTTTCAATTCAAAAAGCGGAAGAGGGAAGCCGCGGGTAACAGCTAGTTATTGTATATATATACATAACGAGACTAATAATCTTTTTCGTTTTTGAATATCGGCACCATCATTCTTAATTAAAAACAATTATCAACAAAACAAAATAACAATAATTAAAAGTAAAAAGTAAAGTTTCAGCCTATGTACGTCACACTGCTGGGCACAGGCCTCCCCTCATTTCTGAGAGGGTTTTAGGGCAAGGAAGTGTTCGCCGCGCCACTCCATTGCGTGTTGGCGAACTTCACATGTCTTCGAAATATTTTTTTTCTTATTTCTCAGACATGCAAGTTTCCTCACGATGTTTTCCTTCATCGCAGAGCACGCGGTAAATCAGCACTTAAAGTGCCGGCGGGGATTGAACCTGGGTTACCCGTGTTCTGTTATATTTACAGCGAGCGTTAACCATCTGAGCTACCACGGCTCATAAATCAACAATAATTAAATAAACAACAATTACTAAAATGGCCTCCCGAATGTTGGCGAACCGGTCTTGACCCTGACATGTTTTTGCCGAGAAAACGAGACATTACGACAAATACACAAGATGAAAAGAGATAGATAATAGATTGTCAACTCCACAGTAGTTTTTAAGGTAAATGATCTTTCGTATCGCTGCTAGTTGGCCGTACTTTACGCATTACAGGATTATAATGAACGAGTGTGTGTGAAACCAATATTCTTTCACTCTCATAGTCAGATGGTATGGCAATTCGACACGACCGGAGAGAGACTAGGGACAGGTCAAATGGCTTTACGTGCTTTTCGAGACAGGAGGAAATATCGTTAACTTACTAACCCCGTGCTGCTACTGTGAATTTCTCGACAGAAAAACTTAATAACTGATTTTGGTCCGACCTGGAATTCGAACCCGGCACCGGCACCACATGTTCAGCAATCGCGTATACGACCATTAGACCAACGGGGCAGTCAAAGTAAGTTCCCTTTAAGGAAGAAAAGCAAAGTGCAACAATTTGTTGCTATTAAAATGTGAAACTATTCCCTATAATATTATTTTGCAAAAGAATAAATAAAAATTTGTACATTTAAAATATCCCTATTTTTATATATAACTTACTTAATTTTGTTAATTTTTATATTAATTATTTATATATAAATTATCTTAATAATATAATTTGTAAGAATGTTTGATTTTAGCACCAAACCATCGATGTTTTTATTTCGATGTTTATCGGACATCGATTTTTATTCCTACTACTCATACTCTGCGTGTTGACGGATTTCACATGTCACTGTTTCTTTCTCACCATTTAGTTTCTCAGCCATGCATATTTTCCCACGATGTTATGTTGTACTGGTCAGCGGGTGGCAAATCAGCGCTTAAAGCTAGGCGTCCATTAAGGCGGTGCGAGGCGGAGTGCGATGGAATCCGTCGTCGGAACGCTCAGCGAGCGTACTTTCCGACGCTACGTAGATACAATAAGGTCATAGACAATAAGTTTTAAGGTGAGCGCTTATCCCCTGAACTGCCATGGGCCCTCTAGCCCGCTACACCTGTAAAGTGATATAGTGACGAGCAGTCGCCCGGGCGTTAGTGTCAATCCATGAATTAATTTTATCCGGATTACAATCTAGAGCTACATCACTACCTATATCATGCCAGCAGGTGGGATTGTAGTTCAAGCACTGGTTTAAAGGGTAAAGGGCATGAGGGCGAAGCCTTAAAGGCTAAAGTTGGCTCTGGATAAGATTTTATCTTTGAATTTTTAGAGCGTTTGGATGGACCCCTCCGCAGTTCGGACACTTGCCTCTGATTATTAATTCCGATGGAACGAAACTGAGTAAAAGGCAAGGCGACGTGAGAGTCGAGGACTACAGGAACAATGGTATGTAGAACATTGCTTTGTTATGAGCTATGGAGAGGATTATGTTATAAGTTTTTCTGCTTGATAGAATTCAAAACGAAGATTTACTTATTTAAACTTATTTGTAAAGAAATGTACAAAGGCGGACTTAACGCCTTTAAGTATCTGCAGTAGAACAAGATGCCCAACATATTAGTAACATAAAATAGCAAAAGCCTGGAACGGACAAACGAGAGTAAAGAAAGAAAAGGATGACAAAATCGCACCGGTTAGCGTAGTGTAGAACGATGACCAAGTAAGACATGAGAGACAATGAATACAGGAGGCTTCGGACCATGTTTGTGGCAGACTTCGAGAGAAATAATAAATAATAAAGATATTAATAGTTACTTTGCAACCATCCGCTCAATTAAATAAAATGATGTGTCTTACCTAGTTTGAAGAGCACCTCCCACCCCCTCAATTGCGTGCACTAATCCCGTCATCACTAATCCCAGCACCACTGCTCCCAACACCACTACTCGAGACAAGATTTGTCGATGGTGTGTCTTTCCTAGAATAGTGGTGTTGGGTGTAGTGGTGTTGGGAGTTGGGTATGAGATGGGGTGATTCTATTTTTAAGTTCCACTTTACGACTAAAATTGAAAAGTAATTGTAGGCATTTTCCCGTTGGTCCTCGTGAATTACATAACTTCGTCTGGCGGTGGATTCGATCACGTCGTCGGAGAAGGAGTTCGACTGAAGACAATGGATGAGTTAATCAACGAGGTAACCGTTTTCTATAAAGTTTTAATCAAATTCATAAACATATAAACGGATCATAATAAAAATAAGTTATAGTAGTAATCTATTTTCTATGCTTTAAAATTGTATTAATTATCTACTATGTATAATCCACGAGATTAGATAATTAACAGATTTCAGACGAAGAGACTTCATTCATTATTCATTACAGCCTTAAGAATCCACTGCTAAACGTAGGCGTCCCCCATAGATTACCTCTCGGGGAGGGGAGGGGGGGGGTTCCGCCATAGTTGCCACGCTTGGCAAGGCGTAACAAATGTTTACATAAACCTGAAAAAATTGTATCTTTGGTTAATTTCTCCGATACCGTTGAGATATTCTACACACACAAGTTGCCTTGTGCACAAAAATTCAGACTAAAAACGGTTATTTTGTACAGCATATAAATACTGCTACGTGCGGGGTGAGTAAAAATGCCGAGAGGAATGGATATATTCTTCCACGCACACAGCAAGTTAACAATTACGTCGTTCAAAACCGTTAAGCTTCTTCGGTTACCTTCTTTGATCAACAATACCAACTAGATACGGGTCACGTACAAAATCATAGCTAAATACTGTCCGCGTGAATATAAACTTAAACAGCTACATTTGTTTAATAAAGAAATGAGACAAAAAATTAGATAGTTTTAAGTTCAACCTTATTATAACCATCGCATCTAGTAATAAAGTTACAAATCTTACGATCATTAGTCACAAAAAAGAACAAAGCTATACAATACTCCTATCACTTGGAAATTAAAAGACATAAATTAAATAACATTTAGTGTGAAATCAACCCTAAATTATAACAAATAAAGTTCTTTTTCCCGTTATTGCCTTGCGAGCTACGTCATTTTGTTATGTTTCTGTTTTCTTCTTCGAATTTGGTCCAGGAGGTATTGAGTCGCGTTGAACACTAAAATAATTTATAATATGATCATAAGTTTAATTAAAATTATTTTTATGCTTTGGGAATTTATGATTGTTGGTAAACATACTTTCCACACTAGCCATTAAATATAATATAGTATGTAGTATATTGATTGCATTTAACTAATTCAATAAATATCTATTTTAGTTTTATGTATATATGTTTGTAGTATGTATGTATCTATGTATATTATATATATAAATATGTGTATTCTTTTTTATCACACTATTTTGCCCTACTCCTGTCACCTTTATGTAATCCTGTCCATTCATTGGTTGTCTGGAAGAAATTGCTGTCAGCAATAAGACCGTCTATTGCATACTTTTAAAACGTGGTAGAGCCATGCTGCAATTATATTAGTAGTATAGTTGTAGCACGAATGGATCGGCTCGACCGGGGAAGAAAGCTAGGAAAGCTAAAATGAAAAAAGCTAAGTATCTATTGGAATTACACAAACAAAGACAAAAGTAGCAATTACCATTATTTAAAGTTTTGGTAACGAATTATTAAAAATTATTACAATACAAATCTACTTGATGCGTCTATGTTCTGTTTCACAAATGTTTGCGCGTGTATTGGTCAACATTGGCAAAACATTTGTAGGGGTTATGCTCGGTAATTTTGTTTCAAATATGATATTATTTGTTAGCTTAAAATATAACATAACCCGTAATTACCGAAAGTAAGACTCTCCGGCCGTTAAATTACTTTTTGGGCATTATTCTTGCAACTTTCAAATACACATTGCGGCATTGTGAAACCTGTTTACATTGGCTGTGTTTCAAGTGAACTAAACGAAATAAGAGCTCACGTCTCATGTACGCTGTTATTTACTGAGATGGATTTCTTGCGCCGACCCACATCTAGTTAGTATTGTTGATCGAAGGTTACTTTCATAATCGTAAACGTCATAGGTCGATTGTTCGTAGTCGCTTCCAGATGTAGAGTTCACTTCCGCGTTCTCGAAGTAATGTAATCTACGATCGTTGGCTCACGCTTATATATCTAATAAGAAGAATGTAGAACATTCTAGGTTAATCCAGATCATTCCACTCTTTCAATCGGAAGGTACTAGAACCGCTTGCGATTCCACGACGACAACATGTCCAAAGGAGAAAAGGCTTTATTGATGTAGACATAAAGTTGCGTCTTACTTGCATTAATAGCCTATGTTCAGACCAGCCATCTGCACTACCGAGCTGGCAGTTTCCATTATAGTATATAAAAGTTGCTGATCATAGGACTCCCCCGTATATAGGGGGAAGGGGAAGCCTCATAGGGGAGACTTAAAACAGGCAGTTTTGTGTGAGTTTATTTTGTACACTGGTAATTTTATAGTTTCAGGTAAATAAAATTTCATCGCATCCGAGTCGCCTCAACCCAGATTTACTACAAGAGTGCAATAGGTTAGAGATAAAAAGACGATTACAAGATGATAAACTAGCAGAAGAATTAATAAATAATTTACAAGATTTGATAAAGAAGACATATCCACAAGAAAACTTGAACATTTCAGAGGAACACCTGAGGAATGTGCTTAACTGGGCAACAGTGAGGATAACGAAAATAGAAGAATTAGTTACACCCAAGTTTGGGTTCCTTTGGATCTTACCAGCAGCAGAGCAAATAGATCTTAACAAAAGCTTACTAGAGAAATTAATACGAATATTAGAGGATATGGAAAAGTTTGAGGAACAACCATTGAAGGAGTATCTGAGGAGTTTTTCTACGGAGAATGAAGTTAAGTTTTCCACGTTAATGAAGATGTTGAGATCGGCGCTTAGCGGACTGAAAGAAGGGCCAGGAGTCTCCGAGATGATGCATTTGTTAGGAAAACATCAATGTTTAGAAAGATTAAAGGCTGTTTTACGATAATTAAATGGTATTTTCATTGTTTCCCTTTTAAGGGTTTGATAGAGTTAATAAATGGCTACAACAAAACATATTAACACTGAATACGGACAAAACCAAACATATTCATTTTTCTATGCGTAGCTCAACCCAGCATATAACCATTCCAGATATTTATGCACATCAATGTTGCTCAGTCACAGAGTCTAAATGTAACTGCCCAGTTATTTCTAATACAAAAACCATTAAGTACCTTGGAATAATTATAGATTCTACGTTTACATTTAAAAAACACTTAAACCACCTATGCAATAGAGTTCGTAAACTAATGTTTGTTTTTAAAAAGATTCGTTCTTTTGCTGATATTAAGGTAGTAAAACAAGTATATTTCGCATTATGTCAAGTCAGTCAGTCAATCCTCACCTATTGTATAACCTCATGGGGAGGAGCAGCTAAAACTACTCTGCTACCACTGGAACGCGATCAAACAGCTGTATTAAAAGTTGCAACATTCCGCCCTATAATGTCCTCTCCTCTCAGTGCGTCAGTTATTCGTTATGAGTATGTTACTAAAACAGCACTTAAAATTGCCCTACAAAAAAGAGGTCACTGATAAAAGATGCAAAGATAAAGTAATTGAAACTAACATTAGAATAAGGCATTCTTTCATGCATAGATTTTTTACATTCCTCGGCCCTTTTCTGTATAATCAAGTCAATGCAATTTTGTACATATATCCGTTAAAAATGGCAGACTGTAAAAATGGGTGCGTTTGGCAGAAAAAAGCGCTAGCAAGCGCTTGTAAGCAAAATGGCGAAACTAAACAGTTTTCGGCCAGGACACGTTTGCTAACTTCAGTAGCGCTGACTCAATCCGCCATTTTGCTTATTTAATTTGTTTGTTTTGAAGTAGAGTTTATAAGTTGTTTTGTGCAATATTAGTTTTAAGTAATATAATGACATGAATAGACATATACATGTTATTAAAAATTCATGATTGGTAAGTTTTTAATATGAATACTTTACGAAAATATATTTAAATTAGGTTAGGTTACCCGGTTAAAACCAACTTCGTGTCCTGGAGGAAAATAGCTACTTACGATTTGACAGCGCTTACCGCTTACGATCGCCTTTTTGCTTACAAGCGCTTGCTAGCGCTTTTTACTGCCAAACGCACCCAATGTAATCCGATCATGGTTACAAAATTTGTCATGCGATGACACGGAGAGTTTCCTGATTGTTTTAAGTTAATTAATATCATAAGTAAATTAATCCTGATATGTTTTACCGAAACAACCCTTGTTACGAGGGTGGATTGAAAAGTACTCGGCCTAACACAGATCCATTCAATTCTAAAAATCAAATCTACATACATTATTTAGTTCAGTTCAGACTAGTTCATTGTGTGAAGTTCGAAACGTGTGCGATAATTAGTTGTGATTTTATAAATTTATTAACAAAGTAATCGGACATAATTTCCGCGAATGGAGTAAATTGAGCAGCGTGCCGTCATTAAGTACCTCCATAAGAAGGGGCTATCATTAAAAACCATCCATGATGACATGGTCAGTACATTAAGCGATTGTGCTCTGTCATATTCATCCGTCAAAAAATGGATAGCAGAATTTAAGCGTGGTAGAGAGAGTGTGAAAGATGAACCCCGCTCTGGAAGGCCTTCGACGTCAACTACTGACGAAAATATTAAAAAAGTACTTGATTTAATAATGGGAGACCGCAGATTAAAAATTAGAGAGATAGCCGAGATTATAGGCATCTCTTATGAACGAACTCAAAACATCATTGTCAACGAGTTGGGTTTCCACAAGGTGTCTGCGAGGTGGGTTCCGCGACTGCTTTCAGTTGAACAAAAAAGGACGCGATTGACTATTTCACGCGACTGTTAGGAGTTATTTGAAGCCGATGCAGATGATTTTTTGAATCGTTTTGTTACTATGGACGAAACATGGGTTCATTACTGTACACCGGAAACAAAACAACAATCAAAACAGTGGAGAAGACCTGGTTCACCACCCCCTAAAAAGGCTAAGTCGATTTTGTCGGCAAATAAGGTGATGGTTTCAGTATTCTGGGACTCGAAAGGTGTGATTATGATTGATTATCTTGAAAGGGGTCAGACTATAAACTCTGATTACTACTGCACCTTACTACGTCGTTTACGAGAGGAAATAAAAGAAAAACGTCGAGGAATGCTCAGAAGAAAAGTCCTGTTTCATCAAGATAACGCCCGTGTTCACACGTCAGTACAGTCAATGGCTGAAATTCACAACTGTGGCTTTGAACTGTTACCGCATCCGCCGTATTCGCCTGATCTGGCACCATCAGACTTCTTTCTGTTCCCTAACCTAAAAAAGCACTTGGGAGGTCAAAGATTTTCGACAAACGACGAGGTCAAAGCAGCTGTAGACGCATATTTTGACTCTAAGGAAGAATCATTTTTTTTCAACGGTCTAAATGCTTGGAAGGGGAGGTGGCAAAAGTGTATTGAACTTGATGGTGATTATGTAGAAAAATAAAAATATAACTGATTTAGTATGTGTTTATTTTCTTGGTTAGGCCGAGTACTTTTCAATCCACCCTCGTAGTATGTTATTCATTTTATATAAGAAACAGAAAATATTTGTTAATGTTTCTATTAGCGCATACACCTGAGATACAGGTTTATCCTAGTTCAGGTGCCTGTTATTGTAGACTATTTTTAAATTTAAACTTATTGGAATTATTTGTACAGTTTATTAAATTAAATTATTATAAAAAAAAATTAACGACAAACTTCCGTTCTAGGAGGAAGTTTGTCGACCAAATTGGCGATATACTAAAAGTGGGCCAAATTAAGACTACCCTTAACCGACGAGCAGGGTATATGGATGTGGAAGAGGCGAGAGAGGTATGTCAGGATCGTGCTAAATGGAAGTCTGTAGTCTCTGCCTACCCCTCTGGGTGACAGGCGTGAGTGTTTATTGTATGTATAAAAAAATTACGTCCTGTTTATTACGGCTATATTGAGTTAACAAAATATAATACGAGTACTAGTTGTGTGTGTGTTACAGCCAGCGGCACGATATAAAGAATGTAAGCAAATATTTAGACGTTCATGGATATTTTTACATTGACCTACTCACGCCTATTAAAGTCCACTGCTGAACATAGGCCTCCTGCATGGATTGCTTCATGGGGGTGGGGATTTTTTCCATAGTAGCCACGCTTGGCAATCGGGTTAGTAACCACTTTTTTATATTTACTTGTTTATTTTTTTTTGAAGGTTATTAACAATGTTATAAACGTTACTAATATTCCCCTTAACCACTCGTGGTAAGCTTAAATTGCTTGTGTTAAGAGTGGTTCACATCAGTAGTCGAATGGCGGATTCGAACTCACGACCTTTTTGAGTTCGCGGTCCGCGCCCTGCCATTATTAGGCTACTGTCGCTTTGCTATTAGGTAGACGCTGCTGTTCATCTTCCGATTGTTTCCCACTGTCGTATCGTACGACACCCACGGGATGATATGGAGTAGTGGATATTTTTACATCGCCACTAGACGGTACCATGTAGCCAACTAGCCTTCCAAAAATGGCAGCTATCGCAAATATCCCCCTATGAGGCTATATATGGGGTATGCAATTTTTAGCCGTGCAAACTTATTTGGGATTTTTTTTAAAACTAATGTACTTGAATCCTCATAAGATTGCCGATATGAATGTTCACGAAAATAGTTTGAAGTAACAAGAAATTTCAAACGAACTGAATATTGTCGGTCAGAGCAATATTTTTAATCATTCATATATTACGGTCTATTCAAGGTCAACACAGACATAGGACTCTTTCATAGAATGGAAATTGTCCTTAGTTGCAACTAGTAGCAGTGGTTTGGCAACCGTAGTTTTTTTAGGGCTTTGATAATTCACATTAGGTCTTAGCACCGAATTCTGAATTTATTGTGCGGAAGGCATTTTATGCGTTTTTGTTCTTTGTAGTCATATTTCTTTAACTAAATCGTTTAAATCACTTAATCGACTGGGTATCGTTCCCAGTCGAGGAAGTGATTTAAATAAAATATAATACACGGTATAAACATCAATGGCGAATACATCACTCAGCTTCGATTAGCGATCTCAGTAGTTTTTCCAATTGGGTAGTGTGTCTTAAGAAGCGACAGAGGGAGACAGGCAGGAGATGGACAACAGCCTCTTCCTGATCACAGCAATTATGCAATAAAAAAAACATGCGTGCATCTCACATGCGACAGAAGTGATACCTTTAAATGAAATGAAATATAAAATACAATACTTTAGGGCAAATGATTTATTTAATATTATAATTTAAACTATAAGTTCGGCATAAAATATAAGAAAATTTAATTTTATAGTAAATAAATGTAACAATCATTTAATATATATATATATATATATATATATATATATATATATATATATATATATATATATATATATATATATAGACTATTAGAGACTAGCTATTATAAAAAGTCATGAGTGCAATTAGTTTAATTTAAATTTTCGTGTATTTAAAAAATATCAAAAAGAGGGCTCGAAAAAATAGATTTTCTCAAAAAAAGAAAGAAACTTGAAAAAAAAAATTAAAAAAAAGTCAGTCGGTCGGTCTGGGCTCGAACCATGGTATTACGATTTGGACGCCACCAATTAAGCTATTTGTAATCATTAATAAACTGTCAAAATTTACCTTCTTATTCTAACGATATTGTAGCAGTTTTTCATTCCCTAAAAACACGGACAAAAAGACATTTTCTAAAAATAAATCCTAGCTAGATCGATTTATTGCCCCCGAAACTCCCTGCACACAAAATTTTATGAAAATCGTTGGAGCCGTTTCCGAGATTCCGATTATATATATATTATATATATATATATATATATATATATATATATACAAGAATTGCTCGTTTTAAGGTATAGGATATTTTCTTTAGAGTAAAATTATAATAGCGCCATCTACTTCATTCTATAGGTAATGGCTGCGTTTGGCAG